AATATTATTCTTATATAATTCTGCCCCCTCTTTTACAAAACAAAATTATATGGTTTTGCTGCTGATTCCTCTGCCTTCTTTATAAACATATATAAGCACATACAATATATATATATATATACCTACATACATACAACACACATACATATATACACATACATACTTATACATACCCGCACATACATGTCATAATAAACATAACACGTAATTAAACATCACTTTTGTAGATTTGGATTTGTTTCCTCTTGTAAGTCTGTTTGAATTCTAAAATGGTTTTACAACTTTGTAAGTCTTTTTCTTGAGAATTCCACAATTTTACTCCAACAACAGATAAACTCATCTGTTTTAAAGTTGTTCGTGCTATTGGATGTTTGAAGTCATATCTCCTTCTATGATTTTGTTTTTCTGAAGTAAACACAAATAACTGTTGTAACTCTTCTGGAAGAGCTCTGTGACTGGCTTTAAACATGATCAATAAAGTTTGTAACTCTACTATATCCTTAAACTTAATCAGTCCTGATCTAATGAAAAGGGGATTAGTGTGCTCTCTAAATCCAGCTTTATAAACAATTCGAATGGCTCTTTTCTGTAATAGAACTAAAGGCTGTATGTTGGTGCTGTAAGTATTACCCCATATTTCTACACAGTAATTAAAATAAGGAAGTACCATTGAGCAATATAACATTCTCAAAGTGTTACATGGTAACAAATATTTTGATTTATTCAATATAAATAAACTTTTAGATACCTTATTTTTTACATGCATTATGTGTGATTTCCAAGTTAGTTTGTCATCCAAGATCACTCCAAGAAATCTAATTTCCGACACTTTCTCAATATTTACATCATTAATAGATATTCTAACTTCCGGTTTTATTTTATTGCCAAATATCATAAACTTTGTTTTTGTCAAATTTAAGGATAATTTATTTACATTAAACCACAAATTTAGTTTAACTAATTCCAGTTTAACCTCCTCAGCTAAACATTTTAAATCATCTCCTGAGCAAAAGAAGTTTGTATCATCTGCAAATAATACATGCTGAAAAATGTTTGAGACCTCACAGATATCGTTTATATATAAAATAAATAATTTGGGTCCTAAAATTGAGCCTTGTGGAAGTCCACATTTAATATTCAAGCTCTGTGACCTGTGGCCATCAAACTGAACATACTGTTGTCTCTGATGTAAGTAACTGCTTAGCCAATCCAGCACCACTCCCCTCACTCCATAGGTGTAAAGTTTAGAGATGAGAAGTGAGTGGTCTATTGTGTCGAAAGCCTTCTTTAAGTCAATGAAAATTCCGATTGTGTATTTCTTTTTGTCAATTGCTGTTGATATGTGTTCTACAATTTTCATTATGGCTAAGCTTGTCGCCCTATTGGACCGAAATCCATACTGACTTTCATTCAATAGTTTATTTTTATCTATGAAGCTGTCCAATTTTTTCACAAACAATTTTTCTAATATTTTAGAAAATTGAGATAGCAGTGAAACTGGTCTGTAATTGTTAAATTTATGTTTATCTCCATTTTTAAAAAAAGGAATTACCTTGGCGATTTTCATCCCATCTGGAAAAACTCCTTTTTTAAAAGACAGATTAATAATAAAATGTAGTGGTTTGATAATACAATCAATGGTTATTTTTAATATTTGCATGTCAATGCCATCACTGTCCAATGATTTCTTGTTTTTTAATTTAGAAACAACAGATATTATTTCATTATCAGTCACTTCCTCTAAAACCATTGATTGCATCATTCTATTTTCCCTGGTCCAAACGTTGTGGGTTTGGCCAGTCGCTCTTGGTATTTCACTCGCTAAGTTAGGTCCCACATTTATGAAAAACATATTTAACTCATTGACCATTTCTTTTTTATTTTCAATCACTATATTATTGTCCTTTTCAAAATACTTGGGTAACTCTGTTGAGCCTCTGTTATTTCCTATGACCTTGTTCAGAATATTCCATGTAGCCTTTATGTTGTTTTTATTTTCAAACAGAATTCTATTATAATATTCCTTTTTTGCTTGTCTTAATATACTAGTTAATTTATTTTTATAGTTCTTGTATCGTTTTTCAGCATTTTCTGTTCTTAACTTAATAAATTCTTTATAAAGTCCGTTTTTCTTTTTACAAGCATTTTTTAAGCCATTTGTTAACCAAGGTTTTAGATGATAGTTTTGTGTAGGCCTACATGGAATCTCTGGACAATGTTCATTATACAAGGACAAAAAACATTCAAGAAAACAGTTATATGCTGTATTCACCTCCTCTTTGTAGACCTCTTTCCACTCATGTTTCAACAGAGCATTTCTGAACTTAGTAATATTTTCAGGGCTCCTTTTTCTTTTATAAATTTGATAATTTAAACTTGTCTTTCTGGCCACTCGATAATCAAATAATGCAAAAATAGGAAGATGATCACTTATATCATTTATAACTAAACCACTGGTGATTTTATTCTCCAGAACATTGATAAAGAAATTATCTATTAAAGTTGCACTTGTTGTAGTTATTCTACTAGGCTTCGAAATGAGTGGGTACAGCCCTTTACCGTATAATATTTCTAGAAAGTCAGATGTTTGTTTATGTGTCTCTACCTTTAAGAGGTCAATGTTATAATCTCCACACATTACCAGAGTTTTTTTGCTATTTAATCCATTTAACATTTCCTCTAACTTCTCTAAAAATATTTCCACTCTTGATCCTGGCTTTCTGTACACACAAACAACAGTTATATTTCTATTTTTTTCCAATTCTATTTCAATAGCAACACTTTCCATTAAATCATCTATTGTAGTTGTCATACCTTTAACTGGTCTACATTTTAATTCTTTACATACATAGAGGGCCACTCCCCCTCCAATCCTATTGGTTCTACTGGAGACATACAGCTCATAACCATTCATGTTTAGATCCACCTCCTTTCCTTTATTAATCCATGTCTCGGATAACGCTATTAACTTAAATCTACCTTTAACTGACTCCAAAAAATATTTGATTTCAGAAAAATGCTTAAGACAAACTTCTACAATTGAAATGAATCATGGAAAATTAATTTTCTATTTCAACATCTTTAAGTTGCTCCTCAGTATAATATCGACAGGAGTCCTGGAGGTGATTAAATACATAAGTCTCTGGATCCACATCATTTTCAAAACCATGTGCAAAATGCTCTGTGTGATCAACACTTGAAAAGTTATAAGTCTTAAATGAGAGTGTCATTCATAAAATAAATTATATTTGACTGTTTTGATCAACTTAAATATCACTATCTCAGTCATGGATGAATTCCTGATGTCATATATGTCAAATGTTGTCATTTAAAGTGATCCAGATCACTCAATTTTCTTACCATGATCACTTTTGCTTGCTCCGGTGATCCATTCAGCCGAATCAATACTTTTCCATTCCTGGTCCAAGTTGCTTGGATTTTATTTTGCTTCTTTAGGTTCCGGCTGGCCCAAGATATTTCAGAGTTTTTCTTTGTCAAATGCTCATTTAGATATACTCCAGTGCCTTTCAGCTTCTTAGCTTCCTTCAGAATTTCCACCTTATGCTTTCTGTTGGCAAACCTAACAATGATTTTAGGCTTGCTTTTTCTGTCCTTATTTGGCAGAATGTGACACGCCGAGATGTGCTGGCTGTTCAGATGAATGTTTTTACTCATCATGAAGTGTACCACTTGTTGCTCCAATGTGTGCAGCTCCTCAGACGGTGCATCTTCACCATGCAGATCACTTTGAGGGCCAGCAGCCCGGGCATAACTTTGATGCCTGGTCTCTAGCCCGGTGATTACCAGGTCATCAGCTCTAAAATACTGCTCCAAGTCATCCACCCTTTGCTCCAGGAGCTCAATCCTCTCATCCTTCTGTTTAATCATAGCCTTTAGCTGCCGAATCTCCTCCACAAGGCCTGTAAGCTTCTTTTGTTCTTCCACAACTTCACTTATGTCTTTTGACAAATGATTCAGAGACTGTTTAATATCTCCCATTTCAGCTGCTAATCTGGTGTTAGTAGACATTTTGATCCAAGTATATTGGGGAAGGAGCAACTGTCTTTGTGTTGGACTGCTCTTGTGTCCAATTTTCAGTCAAAATCGTCAAAATGCTCAAAGGAATGACTGTAAAATGTATCAATATGCGTCCTGATACCTTGTTTTTTGTCGGATGGTTGTTTATGTTGATGATATTTGATAGATTCTGTCAGGCCTCTGAGCAAAGAGAAGCAGCTGCAGCCATCTCTCACAGTGTTCTCGAGTGTGAATGTCTGAAATGTTAACGTAACGTGAAGATTCAGTAACATTGTGTCAGACAGATGTGCTCAGCAACATTTCACTGATGCCATTCAAATTATTCTTACTATGGCACTGTGTAATACAATAAATAAAGTTTTGTTTCTTTTGTTTTACAGTTAGCCGTTTTTCTCAGTCTGTAACGTCAAATGTGTTGGTTTGGTCTGATTAATTAGATTGTGAATAACATGGGTATTAACGCAGCACATGTGGCAGTGGAATCCCTCATTCATCCAAAAGACTCAAAAGCAGAAAAAGGTTTCACAAAATATATCATTTGGACTAAGCTTTCAGAATAGGGGCATTTCCACTCTCAATCAGAAATCAACTAGATTTTAAAAAGACAGTACAAATTAAATCTATTGTCTTTGCCGCGTTAGTTTCAGTGTTGAATGAGTAGCCCTCACTCACACATAACTACAATATTACTTTTAACACCATTAACCCTTCATAAGTTCAACAAATTGACAGTTTTAGAAGTTTTAAAAGCCAACAAAATTCAGATTCTAATGTGTAAAGGAGGTACACATAAATAGGTAATAACACAAAGTCAATGCCCAATAGTGATAAATACGTATGTGCAACAATAAATCATCCTTCATGATGATGTCAGCGTCGCTAAATCAACAGAACAAAGATCCCTGTAAAACAACCATCACGCTTTCCCACGCCTCGGTGAAACCACACGTTTCCCTTTTGCTTCAGCTGTCCGTGGAGCCGCTCCCTTTGTTTTTGTTTCTGCTCAGAGGGAAAGTGGACTTGCTCTGGGGCTGAGTCATTTTGCTGGCCAGAAACACGAACGGTTCGATGAGAGAGCGCCGGTCGACCACGGACACCTCCCACAGCCGGACCTTCTCGTTCTTGGCCCAGTTCTGTGCCATGTTGGAGTCCACTCTCCTCTCCTCCTGTCGGTCCAGTTTGTTTCCCAGCACGATGATAGTGACCTGTGAAGAAACCGGCAATGTCAAAGTCAATATTCGAATCAAGCTTACTTCAAATGCAAATGATTAACTCGATGACTGCCATTGACGTATTTGCCAGTCAATGGTGATTTTGGCAGTCTGACTGGTGATTTTTGTCAAACTTTTCTCTATTTGACTGGAGATTACAGGAGAACAAAACTAGCTGGATACATATTTTGGCTGATGAAAGTGGACGGTCCAATCTTTCAGAATCTGGTTTCATATTTTACATAGTCACAGCACACAATATTCTGTGGGTCTTGAAAGTCAGTGAAATCATGAAAAACTGGCTGGCAGTCAGTGAGTTTTTTTAACAATGCGAAGGCTGTGTAAGAATGTATTCCATCCAACATGTTTGAGTGTTTTCAATATTTTGAAGATCATGAATGATGAATGATGTCTTTTTTAATCCACTTATCGGCTGATCAACCTTCATAGTTCAGATTGCTCCAAACTAGAAAGACTGCGGAGATGAATATCCTTGTTTACAAAGAAAATGCAGTCCGATCTATTCATCCATCCATCCATTTTCTTCCCCTTAATCCATTTCTGGGTCGGGGGTGACAGTCAGAGCTGCCCCCAGTCCACAGAGCACCAGCCCCTCACTGATCCTCCTGCAGGTGGTGAGTCCACAGGAGCCTTGATCTTTCAGTGTGGGCTTCAGGAAAATTGGGGTTAAGTGTATTGCCCAAGGACACAACAACAGCAGACATCAGTGGGAGTCATGAAGTAGGTATTTTTGGTGGGCTCGAACCCACGACCTTCAGGCCCAAAGGCCAATACTCTACCACAGGGGTACTCAGTACGTCGATCGCGATCTACCAGTCGATTGCAAAGGTAGTTTTGGTAGATCACATTACATTAAAAAAATTATCCATTTATGCCTTTGCGTGTAGACAGAGAAAACCGGAGTTTTGCGTTTTCGCACGTCACAGTATGCCCCCAAAACAACAACAAACCAAACATGCGACCTCTGATTACTGAAGAAGCATCGCTCTTACTGCCTTAAAAGTGTTCGCTGCTGCGAGCGGTTGTAGCAGCAAAGTGATCAGGGGACTCACGCTCGAAAACAACCAAAACAGGAGCTAAACCAGGATTAAACCAGGACTAAACCAGGGCTGAGGACAGGGGTCAGTGCTTGTGAACATCTGTCTTTATCCTGAGTTTCTTCTGTGACTGTAAAAGTACCGCTACAGAAGTACCGGCGTCTGCATCAAAGCTCCGCCCACTTCTGTGTTTTTCCCCAACGCAGGACGTCAAAGACGCACATGTTTGGAATGTTATGAATGTCATTGAAATTGCAGATGTTCGGTTATGTGTGGATGCAAATTATTTCATAAATCATGCGGTTTTGCATGTACATCAACATAGATTGTAGATATAAAGAATCCTCAATACATTTATAAATAAATATATGTTTTGCATTTTTGTAGTAGGTAGATCATTTTGACTTGATCATTTTATAAGTAGCTCGCACACTGAAAAAGTGTAAGCACCCCTGCTCTACCAACTGAGCCCCTGAGTCAATCTATTCAATCATTATTATTATTATTATTATTATTATCATCATCATCATTATATTTGTACATCCCAAAATAACAACTGTAGGCATCTTGGGGGACTTTACAAAGTTGTTAGGTCCATGAAGGGCAGATGACAAATGTGCATAATGTTAATATATGTTCATAAATGTCACCACCTAAAACAAAGAGCTCATGCAAAGCAACCCAGGAATTCAAAGAAACTGGAGGATTTAGCCAAGGCAGCTTTTCCACCAGAGAGGATAAAGAACTTCATCCACAACTACCACAAAAGACTGCAAGCTGTCAAAGATGTTAAAGAGGAAACACACGCTATTGAGCCAGGGGGGTGGAATCTTCTAATCAGTGTAATTAGGACAGTATCTGTTGTTATTTCAATTTCAAACACATGTCATTTGACCACAAATAGCACAGGTTGTAAACTTTAAAGCACAACTGTACGAGCCACGCATGCACATTGTATAAGAAAATATTAACAGTTGACAACTACACAAATATACTTCTCAATCTGTTTGTGTATTTCATTTTGTTAAAACTATTTTGTTTTCTCACAGATTCAGAAACATTAATTTTATGATGATCATCTTAATGCAAGTCTGTTTGGTGTAATATAAGGTGTGTGATTAATGCCACCCCCAGCCTTTATTTGGCCTGGTGGTGTGCATATTCTGTTACCTCTTTCTTGTCTCTGTGACGATCAATGTCCTTTTTCAGGGCCTCCATTCTCTTGAAGGACTCTTTACTGTCCACGCTGTAAACCAGCACAAAGCCGTCTGCAAAAGTGTAGTAATGTCGAGGAAACTCCATCCCATCGCGCAGCCCACGAGTGTCGTAGAAACGGACCTGCTCTCGGGTCCCTCTGTCGGTCTCGATGGAGCCAATGTAAATGTCTTCAAGGGTCTCCATGGGCTCAGAGCCTAAAATCACCAAAACAATAGGCAATCTGTGTGTGTGTGTGTGTCTGTGTGTGTGTGACCCAGGATCTAAATGTTCATAATGACAGAAAGAAATATACTAAAGTTACTGCTACTACTGTTACAACTACTACTACAACTACTACTGCTATTGCAACTACTACTGATACTGCTTCTGCATAGTTGTCTTTTTCAGCCCCAAAGATTTGTGAAACAGAAAAAAATTGGAGCCCTGAAACTTCAGAAGAGCTAGAGGACTACTCAAATAGATAACAGAAATCAATACAGAAATTTTGTTTAATGCAACAACACAGGAAGAAGGGCTTTTATAACAATTAATTTAGTAATCTATCATTCATTACTATAGATTAATCAAGTAATCTATTACCTGTAACTGTTTTAAGACATGTTTTCACATTATTTCACATTAGTTTTATTATAAAAGTATATTTTCGTGAGAAAAACTCATTTGACAGCAGAATAATGGACGTTTGGGAGGACCAATAGTCTTGCAGAAAATCCTCCTTTTATACCTTTAAGAAATGTCTACAGAAGATAATATGTTGTACCTGCCACATGGTTGTTGTATAGTAGCTGTTCCAATACAGCAGTTTTACCCACTGCAGACTGCCCACAAACGACTACTTTACAGCTCTTGCCCATGATGGGATCCCTGTCAAAACAAACAAACCTTGGGGGAAAGAAAACCAGATGCGTGTCAGGAAGTTGACCTTTCTGTTTACAGTTGAGCCATATGAGACATTATGTCGCTTGTGTAAAATGTTGTCAATTCAGAATCATCAATCATATTAGCAAGGATGTCATGTCTCTCAAATACAGCAGCAAAAGGTTTCGCTTGTTGCTAATAAGGAGAAATACAAAGCATGCTAGCTTATCTTAGCATGTCGAGCTGTTAGCATTATCTCTGCATATCCATAATCCGGTAAGTATACTTTAAACAATGATTCAGGATAGTACTACACTTCAAAACTACCTCCAAACAAAATGAAATCCTGCACATGACTTAAAATCGTCCAAAAATAAATCGAAAGACACCGTTCTTACCTTGTGAGTGACACTTCCTGTTTACACTTTGCTGCGTAACGACGTAATGACGTAACCACTGCAGTCTCAGGCAAAATGGCGGCGGAGGACTGTGATGCTGTGAACATGGACCCTGACATGGAAATCAGCGATGAAGAATTAGAAAGGTACAGATTATTACACCTTGAGTGTCAGTAGCGGGTATTCAGTTACAAGTATTTACGAGGCTGATCCGAGGCGTGGCAAGTCTTGACATTGTCACTTTTGCCGCATATTCAGTGAACACGCAAGAGCTGCTGCTGCTGCTGCTAAATCTGGCCTCAGACTGTAGCCCTGGTAGTCCTTCTTTAACAGCTCCCTCTGCACTCTTTCAACACCAAACAAACTTAATGGATTTAGTTTCTCCACCTAATCTAACCTGTCATTTATCCATATGTTAATGTTAAGTTTCGCTTTCTGTTTCGTGGGTGTGTCATTTGCTCTACTGGGATTTGCATAACGTTGAAAGCTGGGTGGCTTCCAAATAAAGTCATGGCAGTTGCCCTGGGGCTGGTGTCATATGCTGCTGTCTCAAATAGTAGCGTGTTTGATCGGACCAGGCCCCTTGAGCTCTCCTGCTGCTGCTGCTGTGGCTCTTTCTATGTTTAGTTCTCCTGTGATCACTCAAACACACGTGGGTATGATTGTTCAGTTGTTATTCATAGGGCAGTGGCCTGTGTTTGGATTTAGGAAAGGTGACGTTTGGAAATATTCAGAATTAGTCACTCAACACAATGGTTTTAACACCAGTTCTTTGCTTCTCACACCGGTACTGTACTTTTTACAGGGAAGCCGAGGGTTTCAAAGAGCAAGGAAATGCATTTTACGTCAAGAAGGATTATGCAGAAGCTTTCAACTTCTACACTAAGGCCATTGGTAACATGTTTCCTTGACATATGATATGCACAGTACTTTATGCAATGTATTTGAACATGAAACAACCTTTGTGCCACATTCCATTTATTTTAAATCAATATAGGAGTAAACTTAACAGGAATCCATTGACATCATACAGGCATTGAATATTGGTACCAATATTGGAAAATCCATTGGAGGATTGTGGATTCTCTGATATTGGTTGAGCCAATCTTTAGATTGGGAATTTCAATAGATGAGACTCTTCATTCTATATTAACCCAGGGTCAGGGCTAATATAGGGACTATCCTCTTGTTTACCTCACTTTCTTTGGGCTCTGATAAATTATAGAGCCCCTGATTAAAAACATCACTTTTTCTTTAAGTTTTTAAAAACATCATGCAATGAATTGCATACATTTCACCGCCTATAGTTTTTACGTTTTACTATTTTTTTGTAGTCACTCCAGGATAAAAGTATCTTACTCTAACTCTTATTGGACCCATTTTAGTAGTACATGAGTGGACGGGTAAAAAGCTGTTGTCTATTCATATCAGGTGTTTGCAGACCAAGAATGTTATCAGGCATGAAAAGCTGATCCCGAGTTCCTGCTGTGGCTGATCTCAGAAACTCCCTTAAGACGTTTAAAAAAGTTGCGTTTCATTTCTCTGGCTCAAACTGAACCAAGTTGAAGGATTTCAACGTTTTACAAAACAACCAGTGATTCTGGATAAAATCCCTATTGTTTTTAAAACTGAATCAACAGTTTTATAAATGCCAAAATCTGATTGTTTACCACATTTACAATAACCAGTCACTTATCTACGCAGACTCCCCCTGTTGATTGATTGATTCAATTAATAAAAATGAGCAGCCATATTTATTTTCACATACTTGAAACTCTACAACCACTACAATACTTTTTTGGTCAATCATCTGCTTTTGTGACTATCTCCATGGGGATGTCTAATCTTTTTTGAAGTTCAAAATCAAATCCGTGGAAAAGGTTGTTTTATGTTTTTAATGCTTTATTTTCATGCAATCGTTTTGTATACATTGAAAGACATTATTAAGACAAGCTTGTGGCTAAAACGTTGCACATTGTTCCATAAATTATTCTTCCACATTAGTTTAAATATATTTTCTGGAGGGATTTATAAGTAAATTGATCATGTTCTTACAAACTAAATTTACCTTGTTTGTTACAGACATGTGCCCCAAAAACGCCAGTTACTATGGAAACCGTGCTGCCACTTTGATGATGTTGTGCCGACACAGAGAAGCTCTGGAAGACTCGCAACAGGCCGTGCGGTTAGACCAAAACTTCACAAAGGCACGTTGAATTTCCTCAAAATCTGAATCAGATGATTTTTGAATCAGACGAATTCCAGCCTTGGCCTCTGAACATTTCACAGATTTCTGGATCGGTTGCCTGGTATAAATGTTTTGTAACTATTTCATCTCAAAATGATTCTTTGGTTGCACATGACAAAACTTATACATAACTAGTAATCTCAGGTTATGTGTCATTTACCATTTGTTTTCCCTAATAATCATTTAATTCCAATGATTCAAAATGAATAAATGTAGTGGTGTAAATAGGTCTCATATGAAGCCTTCTCACTCAGTCATCAATGTTTGTAGTAAGTGGCTCTGTTGGAGAGGTTTGAAAGACACAGCTATAGATAAAGTTATGAAAAATAAAACTATATAATGTTCTATGTACTAGGGCTGCACAATATTGGAAATTAGAGCCATTTTCGATATCAGTGTTTAGTATTGCGATAACGATATTATTGTGATATTTTTTCTTTCACCTAAAATTGCAATCTGCATTGAAACGCAAGAGACAAATAACAAAAACATTAATGACATTCAAATACATATATTTATATACTATTTTGTCTGTTTGTTGTTCTTGTTGAATGTTGATGTGTCTGTCTGTTTCGTTGTCTTTAATAAAGTAATAAAAAATAAAAAATAGTTTTTATATATATATATATATCTATATATATATATATATATAAAAACTATTTTCGATATGGATATTGCACGCACCAATATCGCGATAACAATATTTGTTTTGATATATCGTGCAGCCCTACTATGAACATTATTTGGCCTTTTCTCCCTGGCCTGCTATAGATTTGATTAAAACACATTGTATCTCAACTCTCCCATGTTGTTTCATATGCGTGAACTGACTTTTGCATGATTCTGCCTCAGGGCCATCAACGAGAGGGCAAGTGTCACCTGTCCCTGGGAAACGCCATGGCTGCCATTCGTTGTTTCCAGCGTGTTCTGGAGCTGGAGCCGGAAAATACTCAAGCGCCGCCGGAGGTGAGCTGGAAACGAATACTTTACTACCATCAGGAAGACCATGGACCACAGAGCAGACAGCAGACCACAGTGACTACGTGTGACCCAGCAGTTTAAAGGGGACATATCATGAAAAATCCACTTTTTGTGCCTTAAATGCCTTATGTTGTGAAGTTGGAGCCTCTAGAAGTGCAAAAAAGTTGAAATCAGTCTCTTCATGGGTTGCAGAGTAAGTAAGTAAGTAAGTAATCTTTATTTATATAAAGATTACTTCATATGAACACTTCATATTCTGTTTAGGTAAGATTTTTCAACCCGTTCTTCTCTATTACGTGTTTAGAATTATTACGTCCCAGTATTTGCAGTGAGACTGCTATATAAGGGCATGGGCGTCTAACAAAACACTTCGGCCCAGCCCTTCTCTACTGTGCATCACTTAATTTGTAGTCCAAGCTCAAGGATGCCAGCGCACAGGGCTGGACTGGCCATCGGGCGTACCGGGCAATATCCCGGTACGCTAAATAAAGCTCTGATACCTACATTTTGCTTTGCATTAGTAAGTAAGTAAGTAAGTTTTTATTTATATACCGCCTTTTCACTGCAGATCAGAGTCTCAAAGCGGTTTACAATTGTTAATTTTGGGCATTTGTCTCTCACTCCACACAGAGATGGGAGCGGGGTCGCCAGTACAGGAGGCATATGCCAGAACTATTGGACATATTTTTAGTGGTAGGGGAAACCGGAGTACCCGGAGGAAACCTACGCAGACACGGGGAGAACATGCAAACTCCACTCAGAAAGGCCCTGGTCCGACCGGGATTCGAACCCAGGACCTTCTTGCTGAGAGGCGAGAGTGCTATCCACTCAGCCACCGTGCCGCCACATTAAAAGTTAATGTTTGAGCCCAAAAGTAATATGTTGTGAACAAATTAAACAGATTTAGAGCCACCAAAGGCTGACAATATGCATTTCAGTCTTTTTTGACCAATTCTCATCCCTGTAACAAACAATAGTGTTGTCTGTGTCCACCTCCCTCACTCTGAGACATGTTCATTACCCTCTTGTAATGTAGACTATTGCATTTTATTTTATTGTTGAAACTGCACATATCCTGATCCTCTACAGTATTTGCTTCCACATACTGTATAAACTAGGAGTCGGCAACCTGCGGCTCCGGAGGCGCATGCGTCTTTTTCCTTCTGTAGAAGGAAAAACGTTCTTAACGTTTTTAAATGCTGTAAAATTGTGCATAAGTAATATTCAATTTAAACATTTCTGTCAACGTAGTGCGTCATATCCTGCGGCGTAGGCCCGCGCCAGGCGGCCGTTGTTGTAAACAAACCGGCGTATCAGCATCATAGACTGTGCGCATGGATCCCAAAGCTAAAAAGAGAAGAGTCGATAATAAGACTGGACTAAGAATGAAACTTAACATTTGCTTTCAGTCATAGAGGAAGGACTGCTTCATGTTTGCGATGTAATGAGAAGTTTCTATGAGATAATTGTATCTGTGCTTAGAAACTACAAAAATGGCCGCTCGGGGTGGAGTTGAACCTGTGTCACCTGAATGGGGGCGTGGTCAAAAGCGCCTCATTTGCATTTAAAGAGACAGCACCAAAACAGGTTGCTCTCAGACGCACCTCAGAACAGGTGTAGAAGAAAGGCCCGTGGAGCTACAAATAATGAGACTCAGACCCAGGCATTGCAGTTACGCTTTATATAGGCCACAAATTAATGATTTAGATGTAAAAATAAATTATTTGAAAACACGATATGTCCACTTTAAGAGGAGATTAACTAGAGTGAGCTGCAGAGACGGAGTTTTGGGTGACACTGTCGGATCATCAACCTCATTCTGAGCCGCTAAGGACACGGAAAAGTCTCTGACACAGATCCACTCCTCCAGCAGGACTTGGAAGAAAATAAGTTATCTGTGAAACAAAAGCCTTTCGAACCAGAACTGAATACACATTGTCACATGAGGTGAATATATGACAGATGTTTTGAAGAATTTGAATATAGTCGAAATTCATTGTACAATCTGGAAAATGTTTGATTTGTAAGTACAGCACAGAATAACATAAAAGTTTAAGGCAAGTTTATTTGTAGAGCACAGTTCATACAACGCCCCTGAATAATCGCAGTACTTTAAAAAGAGTGAAGATAACTTGGATTTGAACATTGTCACATTTTCAGGAAGACTGTTCAAGATTTTAGATGCATAAATCTGAAATGCTGCCTCCTCATGTTTAGTGCTGACTCTGGGCACAAGCAGGAGGCCAGTCCCTGTGCTCCTCAGAGTCCCAGCAGGAGGCCAGTCCCTGTGCTCCTCAGAGTCCCAGCAGGAGGCCAGTCCCTGTGCTCCTCAGAGTCCTCCTTGGTTCATATGACAGTAACATGTCACAGATGTACTTTGGTGGGAAGTCGTGTAGAGACTTGTAACAAGCAGAGCCGAGTACAAGTCTATTCTCTGAGCCACAAGAAGCCAGTGCATGTTTATGTATTAAAGAAATGGTGAATCTTTTATTTATTTTTTTAGATCAAAAATGCTGAATCCATCCTTGAATACGAGCGAATGGCTGAGATTGGATTTGACAAGAGAGACTTCAGAATGGTAAGCACCGCTGTGCTTTCTGTTGCCCTGAGACTGGCCTCATTTGGTTTCCTTGTTTTCTTCATAGGTTGTGTTCTGTATGGACCGTGCCTTGGCCACAGCCGTCGCCTGTCACAGGTTCAAGATCCTGAAGGCGGAGTGCTTAGCCTTATTAGGACGCTACCCAGAGGCACAGTCTGTAGCAAGGTGAGTAATGTTTCTATAGTGGGAGAGCAGCATCATTATGGAATCATACCAGTTATTTTGGATCTTAAATCTTATGTGAAAAGAATGTTTTTGTCGATTTGACTTTGCCGTGACCCAGGGGTTGTAAGAGCGGTCAGCCTTTACTTTACTTCACAGTGGTCTCTAGAACGCTATAAGACTGATTACTGGGTCACTACAAAGTAAATTTTCTCTTCACGTAAAATAAGTTGTATATTGCCCCTATACAATTCATTAAGAAGACATTATGGCGAATCATAGTTTGAGGTTTTATTAATTTACCACATTGTTCCCTCATCAGAACATCACAAATGTATCACCTCCGGCACAAATTGGCACATGTCCCCCTTTTCACAATTCACTATTACAAATTTCCCTTTAAACTAAGAGTATTGCCTTGTCATCACACTTTTCAAGTTTGTCCATATATTTTTGACCTAACAAATGACTAAAACGTAAAGTAAAAACTCTGAAGGCCAAAACGAACACAAACGATGTATGATATTTCGTTGCTTCCTCTCAGCGACATCCTGCGAATGGACTCGACAAACGCAGACGCTCTGTACGTGCGAGGGCTCTGCTTGTATTATGAAGACTGCATCGACAAAGCCGTCCAGTTCTTCGTCCAGGCGCTGCGCATGGCTCCAGACCACGACAAGGCCCGACTCGCCTGCAGAGTGAGTGCACCCAAACTTCTTATCACTAGTTTTCGATTGTGTATTTTATTTTTTTCAATCATTTGGATTTTTGGGGCAATGGTTAGTTACTGTATATGAAGAGGATATAAATGATACTGATGCTTACATGAATCACAAAACTCCTCATAACATTTTATTATCAGGGGTGTCTAACTAATTTTGGTCACGGATAACTGAATGAGGGCCGAAAGAAGAGTAGGGTTTCCTTTTCTTTTTACATTATGAAGGTATTTTGACGTACAGTATTTGGTGCGTTGTGTGACGGGAGTTTCACTATTTTCTGATTTTTCTGAAAACAATTGTTTATTGTTTTGATATAACCAAAACTAGGCAAAATATAAAGTTGAACATCCATCCATTTTCTTCCGCTTCATCCGTTGCCGGGTCATTTCCTTACATGGGCCTTTTTCAGGGGCCACAAAAAAAAAAATTGCGGGCTGGATTTGGCCCACAAGCCTGAGTTTGACAAGTCCGGTTAACATGGTCTAAAGGCGCGTTCAGACCAAAAGCTTCAAAAAGCTTTTGACGCGCTTCAACTGACGCCGGGATAGTTTTGTCATTTTGGTGCTTGAAGCTTTTGACGCGAGTGACGCGCCTGACGCCGGTGGGAGGAGCTTCTCTGTTGTCTGTGGGAGGAGCTTCTCTGTTGCCTGTAGTCAGGACAGCGGTGGATTTTTCAATGAGCAGCGAGCCTTTATTTGTTATATAAAGCAAAATAACGTTGTTGTAGGGCTTCAACAAAACATGTTCTGGGTTCACCACAGACTTGAGAGGCTGCAGTGTTTGCAGAGTTCCGTCATTTACTCCAGGAGCTGCGTACGGAGGAGTTTCGCTTTCAGCGGTACTTCCGCATGTCACTCGCCCAGTCTGAGTTCTCAAACCTCTCCCCGGCTCTCCCTGCCTCTCGCTCGCCTCTCCCTGCCTCTCCCCGCCTCGCTCTCGCCTCTCCCTGCCTCTCCCCGGCTCTCGCTCGCCTCTCCCTGCCTCTCCCCGCCTCTCCCTGCCTCTCCCCGGCTCTCGCTCGCCTCTCCCTGCCTCTCCCCGGCTCTCGCCCGCCCGGAGCTGCCTTGCTCTGAGCCAGACTCATCGTCAGCCTGTTCTTATTTTAATTAAACTACGTTTACTACACAGCATGTATACAATGATTTTTGTTACTCAGAATGTTACTACTCATACAAATAATATTACTAATAACAATAATGACAATAAAACAGCAGCAGATACATGACTTCTCTTCATGACAGAGACAGACCCTCTGCTGCTGCTGCTGCTCCTCGTCTCCTGATTGGTTGAAGCCCGCGTCAAAGCTTCAAAAGCTCAGCTTTGCTCAGCTTCGGCGTCAAAGGGATTGTTGTGATACGCGAGCGTTTCGCGCGTCAAAAGCTTCAAGTGAGCGCGTAGTACGCGCGACTCTTGAAGCTTTTGACGCGCGTCAAGTGACGCCGGGGCTCTCGGCTTCACCTGACGCGCTTCACCATTCACTTTCAATGGAAACCTGACGCTTTTGACGCCGAAGTTAAGTCCGGTGTGAACGCCCTTAAAGCTCATCAAAGTGTATTCATCCTGCAAAGCAAAATAACACACACTTCTGGGATTATCCACGTTATTCGTTGACTTCCCATATCCACACAAATCCATAGGAATCCTCAAGCATTCCGGGTCAGCTGAGACAAAGTACCTCCTCAAACGTTTCCTTTTGGTCATCATAACTCAAAAGATCAGGACTGTAGGTCAGAGTGGGAACAAACTTTGACCGGTAAATCAAGAACTCTCTTCGCCAAGTCAGTCTGGTGTTGTGTAAAATTCTAAAATGCTGATACTCTCCTCTTGTTGCAGAACGCCAAAGCACTGAAAGCCAAGAAGGAAGAAGGAAACAAGGCTTTTAAGGAGGGGAACTATGAAGCAGCCTACGACTTGTACTCAGAGGCCCTCACAATAGACCCCAACAACATCAAAACAAACGCCAAGCTGTACTGCAACAGAGCCACGGTGGGGTCTAAGGTGAGTCTACGGAAAGTCACAAGCAAAAAATCGCCTTTGAATTAAAACCATCTGTCATCCCTGCACATTTGTAGCATTAGTCGCCAAAAACAAACAAGAGAAAGGTGTTAGTGCATCAGACATACAGTTTATGTCGCTTTTCTTGACGCTCAGGTGACAATCAGGCAACCCAACTTGAATTCAGCAAGGTCTTGACTTGTTTTAATTTGTTAAACTTGTCATTATGTCATCTGCAGCTGAAGTCACTAGACCAGGCTGTGGAAGACTGCTCCAAGGCCATTAAACTGGATGACACGTACATCAAGGCTTATTTAAGGAGAGCGCAGTGGTAAGCCATTTTCCCCATCGTCCAGTCAGTTCAAAGTATTCTTTTTATAGTTAAGCAGTGAGTAATGCATTGTGGAAGTTGTACTCAATATTTCATGTTGTATGAAAAGGATTGGATGGTTGTACACTTAGTTATATTACTGGAATTTGCCTGTAGTTCTTTATGTTTTGTGTGCTTCTTTATAATGCTAAAGTTTATAAATTTTATTTATAAATATAAATGTTAATATAAATTTTATACTTGCTTCTTAATGTATTTATTTCTTGTTTATTTGGTGTTGTTGTTGCAGTTGTTGAGTGTCTTGCCACAGTAAGCAGCCTGGGCTATAGCTTTAGCTTGATGTGTGAAAAAATTAACAGATAGAAGGTCCAGACTTACGGAATAACGGAGAAATGTGGTGTTAACGGAGGCACAGATTTCATGGTTCCATACGAACAGTTTCAAAAATGGCCGCGAGTGGTCCCGGCCACAAGAAAATTGTGAAAAAACCCAACGCATGCGCAAGCTCCATTCATTTGAACGAGAGACTTAAAAAATTCACAGCGATTAAACTAGAGTGGACCAAAAAATCCACCCCCCTCAGCATTGACACACATGTGGAACGGAGCTTTGGGCCAAGAGCCAACTTTTGGACCATCCTGTAAAGACGTTTTTGAGAGCTCTGCCAATGCTATATGTTAGCATTGGCTAATTCTACTTCTGGGTCCACCCCCATCGGCCCGGGGTGGTATTGCAGCATGTCAGCGCACATCATTTTGGCCACTTTTGAGCTGGGACCCGCCCCCACTGGCCTAAACCCAGGTCAGCATCCACATTACACCCACTGGTTCCTCCTACTGTCATTAAAAGGAACTGCACTTTACTTTGCCCCGCCCAAACACACAAATTAAAGGATAGGTGCCTACCAACAACAAAACAAAATAATTAACTTAGAATTAGCATTTTCTTACTGGGAAATAAAATGGCCTCTACAGCTGGGACTTGTTAATGAACACGCCTCAATAACTATCCTAAAGTTAGAGATTGTATTTGATTTTAGCCATCGTTCATTTATCTTTCGCTGTGTGCTCCTCATTCCTACTCTCCTGTAGCTGGGCATGCAACACTGACATTTCCCGATTGTGGGACCAACAAAGAATCTCTCAATCTTTTCTGTTGTAGCTATATGGACACGGAACAGTTTGAAGAAGCCGTGCGAGATTACGAAAAGGTTTATCAAACAGAGAAGACAAAAGGTGAGATGGGTTTGGTTTTTGGTTTTGTTTTTATTTTCGAAAAGTGTTGAATTGCTGCTGTTTCACCCGTCGGCAATTGGATAATACTGACCGTGCGTCCTTTCAGAGCACAAGCACCTCTTAAAAAACGCCCAGTTGGAGTTGAAGAAAAGCAAACGGAAAGATTACTACAAGATTCTGGGAGTGGAGAAGAACGCCACAGAAGAAGAAATCAAAAAGGCCTATCGCAAACGGGCGCTTTTACACCACCCAGGTACAAAGGACCGAGTTTTTATAGAGTCTGGTTTTAGTCAGGAGGAAACAAAGTGCCCACACACATTTTTATATTATATGTTTATTACTACAGAAATAAGTATGTTTTGTTTAGGAAGGCTTAAAGTATTGAAACGTTACAGCAGAGGTACAGAAAAGTCTTGCCTTTTTTATCAATAAAATGGCTACATAAATCCAATGGCAAAAATCATTTTAGTGGAAAAGATAAGGAATATTGCAATTTAAAAGAGATTAAGATTGAGAGATCCTTTATTTGTCCCACAACAGGGAAATGCCAGTGTTGCGTCACAAGTTACAGAACAGTAGGAATGAGGAGCACAAGATAAGTTCACAATAGCTCTATACTAATTAAAATAAAACAATCTCTTAACGCTATCATTAAAGAACAAGTGTAAATTCTCTATCCTGAATATAATGATAATAAAGAAGTATAAACATTTTACATTTGGCAAATTAAGTGTATAACAGCACTTGCAGAAAAAATAAAAGTAAGTAGATAAAAAGCAAGAAAAGTGGGAAGGAGGGAGGGATGCAAAAAATACAGAGATGAAAAATACATTGTGCCGTCTATTTAGTGAATTATGATGTAACTATGTCGGATATCAATGACCGCTACTGATTTTTATCCCTGAATATGGCTCTGACTTGTGAATAACGCGAGAGGAAACAGTGACAAGATTATAAAAACCCTCTCATTGTCAAATACATTTAAATAAATGACCACAGGAGATGACGGAGAACAAAGGATCAGAAAAATGACTTAAAGATGCAGTCAGGGATATTTTTCCAGACACATTTTTTTAAATATTGTGGGAAAATGTACTTTAACCCTAAAAGTAGTCGAGTTATGGACCGATAAAAATAAACCAATGGGATTCGTTCGTCCCCAACGAACCAATGGGATGCGTTTACCCACCTTCACCCTCTTCCTGTTTCTCGCAGAGTGCACGCACCTGAGTTATCGGATTTTCTAAAACCTAAAAAGACTGAACAGAAAATGCCAATTTCACGTTAGCCGCCCACTCTCCCTGTTGTGACAAGGAAAAGAACATGCTGGATGTTTGGTTTGGTGGAGAGGCGAGGGGAGGGGGGAGTGGTTTACAGTTGGTGCTATGGCTAAGCTAACAAAACTGCTTACTGCACCTTTAATTCCACATGCATACGTATTCTCCGTAGACCGCCACAGCAGCGCGACCCCCGAGGTGCAGAAGGAGGAGGAGAAGAAGTTTAAGGAAGTGGGAGAGGCCTTCAGCGTCCTGTCAGACCCAAAGAAGAAGTCTCGCTACGACACGGGACAGGACCTGGAGGAGGAGGGCATGAACATGGGAGGTGAGGCCGCTCCCCAAACACACACGGCTGGGGGAAGTACGAGGCTGCTGCAGGTGTTCAGCTTACCTGTCTGTGTGAGAACAACGTGTGACCCGGAGACTGCTGCATTCACAATATTCACTACACCGTTGTGTGTGAGCGGATGAAATATGCCTAGCTTTGGTCTCTCGGAGCTACTTAACTTTTAGAACTTTAACTATGAATTATTATGTATATATTGTGTTATCAACCCACTGTTTACAAATCTTCTACAGGTCTCTGGTTAGCGTGCACAGACAGCTGAGGTAGAAACTTCCCGTGTCTTTGATACCTGTTACTGCTTACTCAGCAAAACATCCAAAAGAAAGTCTCGTCCTCCGCGCTTCCCGGTTCTATCATTCTATGGTCACGCCACGTTCAAATGTGCGATACATATTGTGAGACGCGAGCTCCGTAAACAGCACATGAGCGCAGGCTTAGTGGGAGGAGGGTAGTGGGGGGTGATAGCTTTGCGAGTGCGGGGAGGGGAGCAGAAAGAGCAAGGCCAGCGCTCACGTTTCAAACTGCTGCTTCGAAATGACAAAGTGAGTTAGTGCAGCTTTAATATTGGCTCAAGATGTGAGACTTACAATACATACAAGAATATAGTAACAAAATTGTTTCACACTAAGGTTCTTAAGGACACATTATGTTTATTGGGGTTTTTTTCTTGTTGTAAAATGTATAATGTGTATATATAAATGTATATATGTATAAATATATATCTCTGAAAACATGTGACCTGAGATCTGGTGTACATATTGGCCGAAGACGATAAACTATTACTATTATCACAAACTACTAAATACACTTCAGTTATAGATTTCTTGCTGGTATCTGTGTAAATCGACTCAGCGTTGCAACATTTGGTTTAGTCCTAGTTTTACATTCACATCTTTCTTTCATCTCTCTCCAGACTTTGACGCCAACAACATCTTCAAGGCGTTCTTCGGCGGCCCTGGCGGATTTAGTTTCGAAGGTTGTAAGTCATTGTTCCCAACTTTCTACCTAAACCTTTAACAAAAAATTCTGAATCATTTATCCGCATGAATAACCCATATATTCTTTTTTTTTTTTATTTCAGCATCTGGACCTGGCAATTTCTTTTTCCAGTTTGGTTAATGAGAGCAGAGGATTTTGGTCTAAACAGTAACAGACACTTCAACAACCCCCAGAACTCACCATTTGTATTTGATTTCTGGCTTTTTACGAGTCGGATCCTGTTTATGCCATCGACTGAATGAATGCAACCCTTTCTCCACTACCTGCAGCAAAATCGTATACAGCAAATTCTCTCGTTACAGCTAACAAATATCTCAGGCATATTGGGTTTTCCTCTTTAAAAATCGAAAGTGAACAAGTGGATGCTGTTTGCCACCAAGAAGGAAGACTTTTCATCCCACTCTCTGGAACCGGCTTGGCGATACATATACTGAGGGGGTTCGCATGAAAGTTACCGGCTTACGTGTCTCTGTTTTGTTACTGAAGTCGAAGGAAACGCCACCATATTCTTTTTTCGAAGACTGCTGACGGTGCCTCCATGTCCACAACAATTGGACACGTCTTGAAACCAACAAAAGCTGAAACCTGCGCTCAAAAATGTTTCTTTTAAATGAATGTATAATGCAAAGGTGTCCAATGGGTTCTGAAGGGGCCGGTGTGACTGCAGGTTTTCATTCCAACCAAGCAGGAGCAGAGCAGACTCAGCCATTGGCGTGTGAGTAACAGGAAGTCGCAGACAAGGGAATTGCTTTAGCTTCAGTAAAAGAAGGCTTAATTAAAAATCTACATACCAATCTCCCATATCCTCAGGTCCTCTGGTTTTAACTGGACTAAGTTGAAGAAAATGGGTTGAGTCTGTTGTGCTCCTGCTTGGTTGGAAGGAAAACCTGCAGCCACACCGACCCTTTGAAAACCGGTTCATTACTTTACCTTTCAAGCCCAGTTTTTGTTTAAACACTTACTCTAATTCTTTCAAATGTCATGTACTGTATATTTTGGTGGTCAAGCAAAGACATCATACATTTATTTAAAGTCAGTATTTACATGTTTTGTCGATTGGAAGCACACGTCGAGAAGGAGATTGCTTTTCTCCTGTTGACACACCTTTGTTTGATGTTGCCAGTCATAAATCTGCTGCAATGTACATTTTACTGAAATGTAAAGTGTTGGTTTGTGATTGTTATGTTTTCCTTTTTTATTTTTATTTTGTATATTTATTGTAAATTTACATTGTACAATGACACTTGACGTTTTTGACCAAATTGCCAGCTGAGTTTTCTCTCCGTAACTATTTCTGTTGCATGCGTGGAATTGAAAGTGAGCCACAAAAACACGATTAAGGAACAAAACGAAACTCTGCAGAAGTAGTTACGTCCAGAGAAATAATATTGGTGATTTGGAATAAAAGCAAGGACGCTGTAGTCGTCTTTAGCTCACTGGTTTCACTCTTACAGTGAAAATCATCTTCTCTTTAACCTTTTGAAAGTTCCAGCCATGTCAATAAAGTTTGGCCTCTGGGTTTTCCCCAATAGCCTCATATGGAATTATTCTACAAGATGTCAGAATTGCTTTGGAATATGGTGCTTTGGTGCATCAGCAGCTTGTGGGCATTCCTGCAGGTGAAAGCCAGATCCCATCATCTCTAAAGTTTAGCATGGGAGACCTCTGGGAACACTAGGTGCCACAGTGGGGCAGCTGCAAAGTACCAAGCTGTTGTATTCTTAAGCAAGACTCTTCACTCACATTGCCTGTGTGAGTGGCTGATGGTGGTCGGAGGGCGTATACTGGATCTGGATGGCTCAACACATAAAGCTGGGGAACATACTACTCAAACAAAGAAACTCTGCAATAACATCCATTCAACTTCTTTTCACATGAATGCATTTTGGCATCTATCATTACTTCAGATCATCTTTTTCATACTGACATGTGAAAACCTAAATGTAGCTCACAGCACTTTGTTTAAATTTGTAGAAATGTAAAAAAATAGATGCATAAGACGCACAGTGCTCTCTGAAAGGTTTTATATTACTTGTTGAACGAAGAAATATACTTCTCTTACAGTGTTTTTCTATTCTTCCTTATCAACTCTCTGTAGTCTAATCGGACTCTAAGCTCCAAAATCGCAATGTTTTCATAACCTGAACATATTTGCTTTATTGCAGGTCCATTTTAATTAACCCCTATCCCCATACACCAGCTATGCCCTTCATATTTGAAACAAATATTTTTGTATATCTTTGTCATTTTCTGTGCAGATATTGCTCCCACTTTTAATTAGGGGAAATGAAATTCCAAAAGCGAGAGAATCCAGCTATGTGTTCGTACTCTAAAATAGATCAGAGCCATAGGGGCTACATTAATAATAATAAAACAACGCCAAGCAATGTGAATATAAGCTTTCTATTGCTAAAGCTTGTAGTAATGGTGATAGTTTGACTCTTCTGCAGATGTTGCTCGTACCTATAATTAGAATGAACGAGTACTCAGAAGCCAAAACTACAGAACCTCACCTTCACAAAGAATCTAGTAGGAATGTGTATGTTCTAAAATAGATCAGAGTTATTGGGTGCTACATTAATTAGTAAAAGAAAAACTTTTGAATAATGAAAATACAAGCTTTTAAATACTGTAGTTTTTTAAATTGATATTTTGTTAGGCTTTTAATGGTAAGAGTGTTTGAGTCGCAAACCTGCTCTGAATTACGCTCTTGCAGTTACGCTGACTGGCCGCATGATGGCACTACTCCTCGGCTCCCTCTGCGTTGGGTCCGTTGCTAGGAGACCACCAGCGTAAACGTGTAAGGTCCATGGACGTATGTGAGGTCGTATTTTTCACATGTTTTGACGTTGAAAACATTAACATTTCGCTGCTAAACTGCTCCTGTAGAATATAAACATGTCAGACATAGACCTAAACCATGAGGACGAACATTCTAAAGACGTTTTGTTCACTTTTGTGTCCGATGGAGACTGGTTGTTTTCCAAAGGGGAATACAAAAAGGCCATAGACAGCTACATGAAGGTAAGAATAAACCAGATTTTTATTTTTATTATACATATTTTTATTATTATGTTGTCTTATTTTGCATTTATTATTGTATATTTTATTACGGGAATAAATTAGTATATAACTACAATTTATCCCTTTATATCTGTTACGCTCTGTATCTACCTATAGGTAAAAATGTACTATTGTTTAGTATTGTGACTTTATTATCTTGTTTTATCTTGTCATTTTGTATTCTACCTACTATGGAGGATTTCCCTAAATTTTAGAATAGGACTGCCATCTTCACAAAACTCTGAGATCTTATTTGTCTTGATGATCCACCCGGAAGTAGAAAATTCTCCTGTATACCTTTAACATACACACACACACACACACACACACACAAACTTTCTATTGTATTCCTTAAAATCATGTATCTCTCCATATCTTTTGTTTTTTTGTTTTATGAATGCTCTTTTGTAAAAATGTAAAAAGGAAAACAAGAACAGCATACTCATATATATTTTTTATTTTTTTTAGATACTGTCAATCAAGCCGGATGACAGAAGTTGCTACGTAGGAATATCCAAATGCCATTTACAGATGGGAAACCCGGAACTGGCTCTGAAGGAGGCGGAGAATTCACTCAAGGGAGACAAGACATATGTTAAGGTAATGCGTTATTATTATTTATAAAACTTTATTATAAGTCCAGACAAAAAATGACGTCAAAACAAAAAAACAAACTAAAAATTACCTCAAGTATTTTTCAAAGTAGATAATTTGAAGTTTCAATTGGAACTTTAACATTAATTAAAACCACACACAAAAATTCACTAAATCCATATAACTTGCTTTTAAAACAATTTGATTCTATCCCTAGTTTTAATGTATTTTGGCTTCTGTTACGTTTTTAGATCCACTAAAACAAGAAAGAGAGGACCGCCAATACTCAACCAATCCAATCAGTTCTCAGCCAATCAGCTCTCAGCCCATTAAGTCAAACAGTGACTCACAAGGATGTAGTGGAATTAGGTTTTCCTTAAGCAGCATTTTTTTTTTTTTATTCTTATACTAGTTTTAGATATGACTTGACCAAATCTGCAACTACCCTGAGGTCAATTGGACTTCAACTTTCGATTAATATCAACCTGTTTTGAAATAATGAATAAGAAAATGCTGAACAATTTTGGTAAAGTCTTACAATCCAGTTTTGATCAGCAGAGGTAGTAAAATGTTAAATGAAACATTTCTTATTGCACCATTTAACCCAGACTGACGTGTAAGGCGTACACTTCTGTCAACAATGATCGTATCTGTTTCTCGCTGGTCTCTCAGGGCTTGTACCAGAAAGCGGAGGCGCTGTATTACATGGGCGAGTTTGAATTTGCCAAAGTGTGCTACCATCAAGGACTGAGGATCCGACCTGAGTTAGAGAAGTTCAGAGTCGGCATCCAAAAAGCACAAGAGGCCATAGAAACTGCTGTGGGATGTAAGTCTATTTACCAATGAAACCACAAAGAGCACATTTTCTTATGAAATCTTTCTTTTATGTAAATGTCCAGCTCCATCTACAGTGAAACTGGAAAACAAGGGAGACCTGAGCTTTTTCCTCAATGATGAAGAGGTTTGTTATTTGGGTGGTATGCTATTTGTACTACTGTATATTCTTACTGAAGTACTATACTTTAAATGAACCAATTCAACAAACATACTTTTGGAGAGAAGTGAATCCACCAAAATGACTGACTCTTGGTGGAGAACACACTTGTTTGGTGGTCTCCAAACTGAGACATGCTTTCATGTTAGGTTAAGCTGTTTACTCCCTGCTCTTAAAGACACATATCTATAGTTTTTACTCTTCACATCATGAAAATTAGATACTTTTTAAAACTTTAGCAGTGGTTAGCCATGCTTCTAAGCTGATGATTTATTTTTAAGTTGTTAGACTTGCTTTAACATGCTTTAACATCCATTCATCGGGTTTGAAATGATTAGCCATGCTTTACATTCATTTTTACAGGTACCGAGTGATCAGCCATGCTTCTAAATTCATTTATACAGGTGTGACGCTAATAGCCATGCAAGTGTATTAATACAGGTTTGAAGTGGTTAGCCATGGTTCTAATAGTTTTTATTATTAATATAAAGATTTTTTTTTTTTTGTAACATTACTATTATTATTTTTTATTATTATTTTTTTAAATTGCAGACACTCACCAGACATGTACACACAAGACACACAACACAACATAACGCAATGACAAATCCCACCCACCAGGCAACCTCAAAACAAAATACACAAGCCCGCCGACAGATGCATAACTAACAGGCAAGACAAATGTAAGAAAATTACTTTTCCCTGATGTACGTACTGAGAAAGACCTAATTTGGTTAAAAATGACATGTTAATACAGTGTCAAAAGTCATTGTTTTGATCATGTTTATGTCTCAGCTGAGAAGGGAAAACCCAGCCACAGCAATTCAACAAAAAATGACGGTGGAAAAGAAACCTCAAACTACAGCAAAAAAAACAAAAAATGAGAAAAAAGACAAACAGCTTTTGGGAGAGTTTTACAGCGATAAGAAGTTTCTGGAGGATCTGTTGAAAGATAAAGGTGAGAATGTTGCAACATTCCTTATTATTACAAGTAACAAAGACATTTACCTTTCTATGTTTTTCTGTATTGTCTCTCTTTTCCATCTACAGACCTGAAAAAAGTGACCACGAAGAAAGGGGAGACTCTGCAGGACGTCATCAAAGGCTCCCTCAGTTACCTGGAGACCTGCGGCGAGTTCAGGAAAAACGTGAAGCCGATCGCTGTGAAAAAGCCCGAGAAATCCAGACCGAGAGAGACCAGACCCAAGTCCAGCTCTGAGCGAGTGCTGTTTTTCACCAAACGCATGGACGAGATCGAATCAGGTAATGACAAAAAGGAGAAACAAGGACTGGATGCATTAGATTGTGTTTGTTAAAATAAGAAAGATAAATCCTTTTCTGGTGTTATTTATAGTCCACTTATCTCGGGTGGGTAAGTTCCACCAATACAAATGTTTGTCTTTCCAGGCACAAGCAGATCTAAACCAGGTGTGAACAAGAACTATATCTGGTCTGGACTAGAGCAAAACTGATCTATTTAAGACCACATACCGTTTTAATTATTTTTAAACTATATATAAAGGATCGTATAATAGACCTGAAGTCACCTGCTTTCCAAAAATGGCAACCAAGATGGCGGCACCCTGTGGAACTGCTGTAACTTTGAGTGACTAAAAAGTGTGATTTATTGCAAAATCCAAAAACAAAGTAAATGTTACAGTGAAAGAAAAAACTTGGATATGCCACCAAAGAAAGCAATCAGCAAGGAAATGGAGATTGAAATGGAGGACATCAGAAAATCACTTGGACAGGTATCTGAGGAGTTGCCTAAAGTGAATCAACAGCTGACAAAGCTAATGCAACTGTTTGATGAGGTAAAACAACTGAAGGACCTTATCAAAGAAAAGGATAAAACAATAACCGAACTTGAGAAGAGAGTGGATCAACTTGAACAATACACACGAATGGATGATGTTATAATCACTGGCCTGAGTGTGAAACCCCGCTCCTATGCCAAAGCTGCAGCAGGGGGGAGAAATGTCAGTGCGGACGCTGACACGGAGGATCTACAGACACTGGAGAGACAGGTAGTGTCTTTTCTCAGGGAAAAGGACATTCATGTCAACGCTGAGAACATCGCAGCCTGCCACACGCTCCCCAGGAGAGATGCTGGAAAACCTGCCATAATCATGCGTTTTGCAAACCGCAAACACAAAGTGGACTTACTGCGCCAGGGAAAGAAGCTTAAAGGGTCTGCTGTTTATATTAATGAGCATCTTACTAAGAAGACTGCAGAGATGGCCCGTGAAGCCTGCTTTCTGAGGAAAAATGACAAAATCAGAGCAACCTGGACAAGGAACTGTAAGGTTTTCATACAACTAAAAGGAAATACACCGGAACAAGCAAGAGTAATGATGGTAAGAGATCTACACGACCTTGAACAATTCCGTTAACTACTTTATACTAAATGATGAAGATCTGCATTTTTTTTGTGATTTTGGGAGTTCCATTGTTTTTTGTTATCGTTAGAGAGGACAAACAAATGGACCTTACTGACTTCTATTGGGGGTACAAGTGTGTACTGTCAATCTCTGAGCGAGTCAGAGGATGGATTATTTTTCTTTTTTGTAACACACAAATTAACTGGACGCTTGGTGATTTATGTGGATTTTTGATTGTTCATGGATATGCCTTTTTTGTTGTCGAATTGAGAAATGCATTTTGGATGCAGTGCATTCATCTCAGCGCGTTGGTTACTCTCATCAATGGATTTTTTATTTATGTGTTGGAAATCAAATTTGACTTTTTTTTATTTTTATTTTTCCCTTGTTTACATGTTCTATTCAAATGTGTGTGTGCGCGAGTATGTTTGGATGTGTGTACGTAGGTCTGATGTGTGTCTGTTTGTTTGGGTCAGTACAAATGTGTGTGTCTGTTTGTTTGGGTCAGTACAAATGTGTGTGTCTGTTTGTTTGGGTCAGTACAAATGTGTGTGTCTGTTTGTTTGGGTCAGTACAAATGTGTGTCTGTTTGTGTGGATCAGTACAAATGTGTGTCTGTTTGTGTGGATCAGTACAAATGTGTGTCTGTTTGTGTGGATCAGTACAAATATGTGTCTGTTTGTGTGGATCAGTACAAATGTGTGTCTGTTTGTGTGGATCAGTACAAATATGTGTCTGTTTGTGTGGATCAGTACAAATATGTGCGTGCAGTTGTAAAGAGTTGCTTTTTATTATGATGCAATACCAAACTCAACAGAGATGACAGAGTCTAGAGATGAATATGAGAAATAATTTGAAAATATTGATTTACTTAATCAAAGTGACACCACAACAGATTTCGAACAGATAAATCTTGAATTATTTGACACCTTGAACTACAAAATGAATGAATTTGGTGGGGATATCGATCCTGATAATAATTTTTATAATGACTTGATGAAGGACTGTAAGTATTATTCAAATGAACAATTCTGTGACATAAATAGAGTAGGTGCATTCAGTATAATTCATTTCAACAGTAGGAGTTTGTATAAAAATATTGATATTAAAGATTATCTCAATCAATTCAATAGATTTAATGTCATAGCAGTTTCAGAGACTTGGTTAGATACTAACAAAATTAGTGAAGTTGAATTTGAAGGATACGAATTGTTTACTGTCAATAGGACAAACAGAAAGGGTGGTGGGGTTGCATTTTTTGTGGATACGGATCTGAAATGTAATCTAGTGAAAAGTAAATCAGTGGTAATTGATGGCGTTCTCGAGTGTATCAGTGTTGAAATCGAGGTAGATAAAACAAAAAATATAATTATCAGTTGTCTGTACAGGACACCAGGGTCATGCATAGACATATTTAACCAGAACATTGATAGATTATTTAGCAATATGAAAAAAGTACATATCGTCTGTGGTGATTTTAACATCAATATGTTGAATCCTAATAACAACACACCAACTAATGAATTCATTACAACTATGTACAGTAACAATCTATTTCCACTCATTACAAAACCAACAAGAATTACATGTGAAACTGCAACATTAATTGACAATATTTTTACAAATGGTCTTGAAACAAAAATAACTGCTGGATTATTAATTAATGACATTAGCGATCACCTTCCTATGTTTAGCATATTTCACCAGATCCTTAAAAAGCAAACTACACCCAAAACAATCAAATACAAAATGATAAGACACAGGACCCCTGAAGCCATGGACGCCTTAAGGACAGATCTATTCAACCAGACTTGGGATTAGGTCCACGACACAACAGACCCTGATAAGGGTCCTAAAATTACATGATATAGTTGACCTAAATACAGCAGTTGTCATGTACAATGTTCACAATCAGAATGTCCCTAAATGCATCCAGGAAAGGTTCAACACCAGAGAATCAAATTATAATCTTAGAGGAACTGACATTTACCAAAGGGTCACTGCCAGGACCAAAGCAAAGTGTAGATGTGTCTCAGTTAGAGGAGTTGCTGTCTGGAATGGTCTGGATGAGTCACTAAAGAAAACTACATCCATCAAGATTTTCAAAAATGTCCTTAAAATTCATGTTATAAATAAATATAGAGAATTAGAATAAATAAATAATATTAAAGCAATTATCAACATTATTATTATTATTAATATTACCATTATAATATTGTTTATATCATCAAAACAATTTGTATGAATCCTCATTTACCTACATGTCTTTTCTGCAAAAATATAGATATGTATTTTCTATTGTTTTTCCATGCTGAAAGCTAATTGTTGCTGTTTTAGTTGTTCTGGTTATAGTAAGCTATAGTAGGGTTAGGCTTCTATAAGTGTTTCACTTCAGCCTAAACCCTTTCAGTCAACTTTACTTTTTACTTTATTTTTTTCAAATGATCTGTATTGTCTGAGTTGTGAAAAAGTGACTGAACAAATAAACTACTACTACTACTAAAAATAGAATTCTTGATTCACTGAAAAAGACAAAAAAAAATCTTTTTAGCTTGTTTTATTTTAAGTACTTGTCTGGTGCACACTGGTTTAACTGCAAAATGGCAAATAAACTAAATCTGTATCTTATTAAAGACAAAATAAATGTTCCAGGGCTCCTTCAGGAAATACATGGAGTATTATATATATTGTATTGCATTTTTTCCACTTATGGGTTTGGTATCATTTTGGACTAGAGCTGTTTTCTCTAATTTAAGGAACCAAACAAGTGCACTCTGAGTCGCTTAAGTCACTTCACTTGAAACAGATCTAAGGAAAAGCTATGTTTGAGACGGCGGGTTAGATACTGTATATACAAGTAATATATACTGTATACTGTATATATACTGTATATATACAGTATACAGTATATATCACACTCTTTGATGGTACTCGAGAGCGGAGAACAAGCACATTCACACTTCTGGTTCTCTTTAACAGAATCACAACCTGAGAATCCCATCTACTTCCTGGTTTGTGTGTTAGCCCGAGCACTTCCTGTTTTCTACTTGTCCTGTGTTTTTTACTAAAACAATTCCACCATTTTATATTCCCTTTTGTTTGTGTCCACTAGTCGCTTTAGTCAGTTTACATCTTTTAAGGGTTTTTCCTCTTAGTGAATCAGACTTGGTCCAGTTGAAGTAGACCATAGGCAAGGCAAGGCAAGTTTATTTGTATAGCACAATTCATACACAAGGCAACTCAAAGTGCTGAACAAAACAAGAAAGCATTAAAATCATAAATAATTACAGAACATTAAAAAGGAAGATAAAAATATAAAATCCCTCAGTTATATGCACAGCTAAACAGAACCGTTTTTAACCTGGTTTTAAACATTGTCAGAGAGGAGGCCTGTCTCACATCTTCAGGAAGACTGTTCCAGATTTTAGCAGCATGAATCTGAAAAGCAGCCTCCCCATGTTTAGTTCTGACGTTGTTGACCATACCAACAAGTTTTCACGCTGAGAGGGTTCTTCTAATAAGACAAAAGTATCAAACGCTAGACCTGATTAAATACCTGACATGTTTCAATGATTAACTTCTGCTTTTTGCCTTTTTACATTTGCATGTGAACGCGTTTGGAAACTGGTGGTCTAGAGTGTTCCATAGATTAATAACAAAAAAGAAATTTGCTGGAAAGAGTAGGAGACCCCAGGCCATACACTATGTATAATAAAAATAATAAAAATACATTTAGTTGAGGGTCATTTCAGGCTAAGGAAAACATGCTTTTGTGAACTGTACAAACTTTAAATATTTAATTAAGTGTAACATTTCTCCTCTTTTTGTGTAGAGTTGATGTGTGGAAATGCAAAGTCGAGTCTAGAGAAGGCTGAAGAACTCCTGAAAACAGTGCAGACCTGGCCACCGCAAGACGTAAAGGACAAAAACGAGTTTCTGGGAATGGTCCACAGGTGTTTAGGCAACGCCCATCTCAAACTCGGAGACACAGACAAGACGCTGGATCATTTTCAAAAAGGTCTGGAGATAGCGACGCAATGGTAAGGCGTTATAGTAACCAGAGACATGCATTTTACAACTTGGCCTCATAGATAATCTGTAATAATTTCTGTGGATAGCAAACTTCCCGCAGAGAGATCGAGGACGCTGGACAACATGAGCCGCGTGTACGACAGTTTGGGACAGTTTGACCGGGCCATCGACTGGTGAGTCAATGAGTAATGGCCACACTTTCATTTGTGTGATTCTAGTGAGTTGTAAGAATAGGCATAAAGTTAATGTACAAATGAGGCAAGGCAAGTTTATTCATACAGAACAGATAGGACACCTTGCAACTCAAAGTGCTGAACAAAACGAGATAGAAACAAGACATTAAAATAATCACAGGGCATAAAAAAAGAGTGGAGGTACCATCCTTCCATAGTAGCACAGCTAAACAGAACTGTTTTAAACCTGGATTTGAATAATTTCAGAAAAAAAGCCCGTCTCACATCCTCAAAAACACTGATTTTTTCAGAGGCAAAAATCTGAAACACTGCCTCCCCATGTTTAGTCCTGACTCTGGGCACCAGGAGGTGGCCAGTCCCTGTGCTCCTCAGAGTCACCAGCAGGAGGCCAGTCCCTGTGCTGCTCAGAGTCACCAGCAGGAGGCCAGTCCCTGTGCTTATCAGAGTCACCAGCAGGAGGCCAGTCCCTGTGCTCCTCAGAGTCACCAGCAGGAGGCCAGTCCCTGTGCTCCTCAGAGTCACCAACAGGAGGCCAGTCCGTGTGTCGCAGATGTACTTTGGTGCAAGGCCATGGAGAGACTAATACCCTTTCACAGTCTATTCTCTGGGCCTGCAGGAGGGGGCTAAAGTTAGGGTACCTAACTTTCAAACCACAACATTAGGATGTATGTAATAAAATCCATCAAGTGCCTCAATCTCAAAACAGTTTTGTTCAATTTCTTCCCTGCATATATATATATATATATATATTTATATTTTATATTATTTTTTTGTAGTGAAAACATAGTATAACATGTAGTCTAACTTGTCAGATGCATTTAACCGTATCCATAAGCAGCAGAAAACACTATAATAAGTCATTGTATTTGACTTGGGACCTCTTGTGTGTTGGTTCCGCCTCCCTTCAGTCAGGAGAAGAGGATTCCTTATGTCAGTGACGCGGTGGAGAAGACCTGGATGTTCCACGAGCTCAGCCGCTGGCACCTGCAGCTGAGCCGCTTTGAGATCGCTCGAAAGTATGGCCTCCGCTCGCTCGCCGCCGCAGTCGCCGCAGGAGACGTCCGATGGCAGAGGAACTCAAGCGTCCTCGTCGCACAGTCTGAAAGTAATTGTCTATATTTAAAGATGAGAAAGTCTGTGAATTCTCTTTTTAATTGAATCTATTTGACTTTATAGTGAAACTGTCCAACAACGAATCCTCTGTCTTCCATTTTGAGAAAGCCCTAAGCCACGCCAAGTCACTGAACGATGACCCTGCTACAGATGCGATTCAAGAGGTAATTTATATTTATTTATTTTTAATTTCATTTTTGGACAGACATGACAATACACCACATTTACATTTACACTTCAAATAATTGGTGTTCTGTCACACAAATGTAAAGAAGCAAAAAAAGACTTTTTTTTTTTTAGACCGCGCAGTGGCTGAGTGGTTAGCACTCTCCCTTCTCAGCAAGAAGGTCCTGGGTTCGAATCCCGGAATGGGACCTCTCTGAGTGGAGTTTGCATGTTCTCCTTGTGTCTTTGTAGGTTTCCTCTGGGTGCTCCGGTTTCCCCTATCACTATAAACATGTGCAATAGGTATGAAGTAAATGAGAGAGTGAATGGACCAATATCTGAACTGAGAACATTGTAAAGCGCTTTGGGTGACCTTGGTCTGTAAAAATGCGCTATATAAAAAAACATTACTTACTTTTGCCTGCCCCTTTCTTTGACATGTACAATTTAAAAGACAATTGATTTAAGAACAAATTCACTATATTGTGAGTGTATGAACAAATAATCATTGAGCCACATTCACTCACAGCTCCCAGCGGAACTACTGGGAAGATAATAAAAAAACTAAAGTATTTAGTGTATACACAAATACATCTGCATTCTACTGTATTTATTCTTACTTTTATTTGGCTTTTGACTTTTATGTCTCTGTCAAACTGTATTCATGAATCTCAAACTTGGATAAATTCACGAACATAACATACACACACTGTACAAACAAGCCTCTGAATGCGAACCAATAAAAGGCATCCACACATGACCATTTGGCTCTGTGAGGAATGTCACTGTGTAAACAAGGAAACCCGAATGCTCCTTCTCTCTGTCTGTGTTCACACATTAATCTTCCCTGCATACTTTCAGTGGCTCATCTGGGAAATTGCCTCATCAAAACTGCTGGGATTTTAGTTTGAGTTTATTGTTTTAATGCGTTGGGTTTTTGTGTTGTAGAATTGTATTTCAGCTGGAGGGCCGATGCCAATGCAACTCTGAGGGAAAGAAACAGTTTTGAAATAAATGTTGAAAATGTAATGATTTTTTTTATAGCCCTAAATCACAACAGCAGTCATCTCAAAGTTTTTGATTCACCAATAACAGGTCAGAGAATCAAACTGTTGGAACTCAGGAATTCAATGATAAAGAGCGATTGGTCCATAGAGAACAGGATGACCACCATAAATGTCCATAAATGTCCCGGATCATCATTCACAAACGTCTTTTTCTAAGTCTAAGTTTTATTTTTTTATATTATCAGCACTTCTAGATGCCTTTATGAGAAACGAGTTAGGTCATGGTTGAAATGTGCTGACAAAGAAGATGTGGCGATTGGTGACAATTATGATTTCATGTGTTAGCTACAAGAATTCAGATTTTTGACAGTTGCCAACCGCAAATCTTCAGAATCATTTTTATTGACATGTAAGTAACAGGAAGTCACAAACTAGGAAATTGCTTTGGCCCTCGGTGCAAACAGTCAAAAGAAGAGCTGTCCTCCACCACATTTTTAACTATTGTCTCTGTGGAAGTGTTGTGATGTCATGAACGCAACCTATTACCAGGACACACTGTAAAAATGCGGTTTCACAGATTATACATATTAACTTGTTTTTTCTGTATGTTTTGTAGGCCCTGGATGAAGTGAAACGTTTGACACAAAATTTGGATGTTCCCCTTTAAAGTTGTGTTTTTTTTCTGACTTTACAAAGTGTTGTTTTAATAAACATGTGCTGAGAGCGGACTGGTACTTTTCTAAAATAATTATGTGGTTTATTCATCTGTGTATCATGTTACAGCATTTGCAAAATATATATATAACTTGTTCCCTTGTGCTTTTTTAAAGTTGGGTTTACCGTACAGTTTGAACCTTGTACTTCCTCTTCTCTCACAGTAATCACGTATCTTTGCCAGGAAAATTGAATTATTTACATTTTATTGAGAACTTGTTTAGTTAAAAGGAAAATAAACACATTCTCTCCACTATAGACAAATAGGTTATCCAGTGTTATATCTATGTATCCATAAAACAATAAGGAAAAATGGTGAGGATAATTTTCTTTATTTGTTGAGCTGTAGTTTCACTGAAAAACTCTTATTCCATGTTTTTACAGTGCATGAACCTCCTTTCTACGTCTATGGCATTAATCTTCTCTTTCTCCGTGGGTAATGTTTATATGATGGGTTTCAGAGAGATAGGAAATTAAAAACATAAACTCTATTTGCAAGAGAAAATGGTTGTTTGTTCTGTTGCATGAAACAGCTTTGATGGTCTTCCGAATTTTTTGTAAGGTAGCTTATCGCCTACAAAAGCTTGCAAGGCGAAGAGATAATAAACACGATAAGATAACTCTTCTTTTCGCCAAAGTGGGGAAATATGTTTCCCCCCACACCACACAGCCTTAGGAATACAAGGAGCACTGAAACAAGATAAATGAATAGAAATAATATCAAAAATGCTTTGTGATATTTAGAGAATAACACAAATATCTATGTATAAAACATAAACTTGTTTCTTCTTCTCATTCCACTTTGAACAGATACAATCAAAAATGTTGAATATAGTATACAAATTTACTATACAAAGTGAAGTAGGCACCCCAGGTTAAGATATGTTTTTATTGACTTTTTATTTATTTATTCAATTTAACAGGGACACCAACATTATTTTTACAAGGAGCACTGAAACAAGATACATGAATACAGACAATATCACAACACAAATATCTATGTTAACACGTAAACTTGTTTCCTTCTTTCCACACCAGTTACAGCAGATACATGATCAATGTTAAATTTGGTTTACAAATGGTGAAGCTACTTTAAATAATATTATTTAGGAGTTTTAAAAGTAGGCACCCCAGCTTTAAATATGTTATTTTATTGATTATATTTAAATATATTTTTTCCCTTGTGCTTTCTTTTTTTAAATAATTGCTTTTTATCATTATTGTAAAAGGTAGTTTACAGTATTCTTGCAGTCAGGTCATAGTCAAGATGTAGCCACGCAAGATAATAATGAATAAATAAGTAAATAAAAATAATAATAATAATAAAATAAAATAAATGACGGATAAAATGAAAGATTTGTCCCTTGTGCTTTCTTAAAGTTGGGTTTAAACTCACACTTCCTCTTAACTTACAGTATCATAGTCATGTATCTTTGCCAGGAAAATGGAAAGATTTAAATGCATCTGTGAAAAATCTTCTCTGAGTATAGATAGCTATATTATCCAGACTATCCATCCATATAGATTAAAATAACTGTGGATTTGCTTTCTTTATTTGTTGAGCTATACTTTCACTGAAAAACTTATTACGTTTATTGACAGTTTAATTTTTTCCAGTCAAATTGATCAGGGACGCCAACAAGTTTTCCCACGTTCTGGTTTATTTTGCACCCCTTCACTTCCGGGTTTTCCGCTTCTGGTTGGGCGTGTCCTTTCGCCTCGCCCACAAGAAGAGGAAAGCGTGCTTCTGCCTTGTCATTGCACACACAGCCTGACAAACGCGTGGTGGTTAGCAGCTCCAGCCACACATTTGGTAAGTAGCACTTTTTAAAGCCACAACCACTTCTCAAAACTAACGCTAATCCCGCTTCACCGCAGACGGCTAGCAGGTGCTGTATGCTAGCTGCGTGCATTATGTCTGGCTATTTCTGTGCCACTCCCCGCTTTGTAACGTGGGCAAACTCCACACAACAATGCCCAATTAAGCAATCAATACTGCATTTTGTGTGCAGAAAGTGTAACCTACTTTTGCACTGACTCTAGTAGTAGTTTCTCAAAAATCTGTCAAAATTAATTATATTCAGCTTGCAATAAACTCGAACTAATTCTGCTTTCTGTTCCATAACAGAAACAGACAGAAACAGACACGCACTTTTGGTTTTATTTTACTGTTTTAACTGAATAAATTCGATACATTTAATGCCATGCCGTACATGCCTTGCCATACAGTGCTGGCTATGAATCAATTACTTTCCCCTGATAATGGCCCCATTTTAGCTTCTTTGTTTGGAGATTACCCACAATGCCAGTGCCCCCAACGCCTCAATTTTCGCCCTGATTCTGATCCGAGTTGGTCTAATATGACTTGGCACACTCTGCACGGACTTTTAATAAATTGATTTAATATTATTATTAGTTAAACTTGTTTTTATGCCTCAGTAACGTGACAGCAGCCTGGCACTTTGCATCAGATAAGAGGTGACAAACTAACATGCAGCTGACTTCCCCTTTTCAATAGCATGGGTATACAGAAAACCCAACTCACCCAAACTTAAAATTTGAATAACTTTGTCCACTTTATCATTTCTGAAGATAAGCAATTCTTTTATTGGTTTAGCAGTTTTTATTTGTTTTTCTCTGGACTTTGGATGTGGTCACATGATTCCACTGAAATGGAAAGTGAATTGATGCATCATTTTCAGAGTTTAATGCAGTTATACTATACATTAGCTTAAATTACTAATGTTGAAGCAAGTCACAATGCCGCTCCCAGTAAAGAATCAGGTTGGGAGAGTTTGAACCAGTCTCAAAGTACAGAATAGAATATTGTTTTTCTCTTTTCCAGACATTAGTTTTAATTTCTTCGAGTCACATGCATATGATGACAGTTTGTGCTTTAAGCATGGATCTGGTTGCAAGGAATGGAAAGTGATAAGTTTCTGCAATAGTTCTTGTTTTGACAAGTTTCTGAATGTTATGCAACTTTTAAATATAGCCTCTGTGATAAGAAAAAATTCCAATTCATGTTTGTTTGACTTTACAACTGCTATCTAGACTTTGGAAGAATATTAATTTGTTTTCATGCACTACATTATATATAGTTAAAAATGATTGGCTCATTCCTTGACCCTTTGGAAGGTTTTAAACTCTGGACTTCAAATATTCATTCTTGCATAAATCTGTTTTTAATAACGTTGATATATTCAGTTTCTCTGGAAGATTGCATCATCTTTTTATTTTTTTTTGCAATTCAAATCAATGTATGAACTATCAACCAAGCATAACTGGTGCTTTCTAGCTGTTATTGACCACAAAACATTATGTGACTCATAATGTCTGGTCAATTTTGACAAGCTGGGATGATCTATTTCTTTAAAAACTTTGATTCCTGGATTTAAGGGACATGTTTGTGCCTAATATATTTAAAATTGGTATTATAAATTTAGTGTTTGTCTTTTTTTTTTATTAGGTCTTTCTTCACATTATAAAAGACATGGATACCAAACAGAGCGGTGAAGTTATGGAAGGAACAGACTCTCCGCAGGAAGGAAATGAAATCCTGAAGGAATCCAAAATGGAGATTCCAGCTGAGTCGGAAGCACCACCAGCTGAACCTATTGGACAAGGTGAAGTGAATGGCCAATCGAATGGTGTAAATGGGAATGAAGAGGTTGAAGTAAATGAAAAGGAGAACATGGAAGCGACCCCAAGCACAGAAGAGCCAAGAGAGGAGCAGAGTTCGAATCAAGATGCAAATGCTGCCGTAGAAGCTGAAATCAACCAGCCCGAACAAGCCGAGAAGCCAGTAGAAATTCCAATCAGCGAAACTACACCTGAACCAGAAAATACCCAAGAGCCAGCGGAAGAGAAACCTCCAAAAGTTGACGAAAAAGTAGTTGAATATCTGGAAGTGCAGAAAGAAACTGGAGATGTGGAGATCGTGGCAGAGCCAAAGGCAGAAGTCGCGGCAGCTGGAGATAAGGAGAAAAATGACCAAGAGGTGAAAGAAAAGTCTGAGGCGGCTGAACCCAAGGTGGTGCCAACGACTGCAGCAACAGAGGAATCTGAAGCAAAAGAGCCAGAAGACGATCCGACTCCAGCTGCTGGCTCTTTACAATTCCCCATTTTGGAGCACGACAAAACCAAAGAAGCGTTTGCAAGCGCGCGTACCCTGGTTGTGCTGAGAGGTCTCCCCGGAAGTGGGAAAACGTTCCTCGCCCGGGCCATTGCCGAAGCCTACAAAGACCAGTGCTCCATCGTAAGCGCGGACGAGCATGAGGTGAAATCGGACAGCGCCGACTGTTACAAAGCTTTCGACGAAGCGATTGTGGCTAAATGCAGTGCTGCTACGACTCCAGCGCTCATCGTGGTGGACGACTCCAATCACACCCAGAATCGGTTGGCCATTTTGGGAGGGATCGCCAGAGAGCATGGGCTTCTGGCAATATTCTTGGAGCCCCGCACTGAGTGGAACAGAGATGCGGTCCAGCTGAGCAAAAAGACCAAAAAGGGCTTGGAGCAGGCTAAACTGGAAGCAATGAAAAAGTGCCATGAGGAAATGTCGAGCCCACTGTATTTTGGGTGGTTCCTTTTCTTCACGGTTCAGGACGAAGTTAGAGAAACGTCAACGAACTTTCTAAAGTCGCTGGAGGGGTTGGAGAGCTTCCAGAAACACATTAGTGACTGTAAGTTCCTGTTTTATGCCCTATTGTTTTGTAATTGCAGTTCTGTTTTGAATGTACCATTATCTTGTTTGTAGTCAGTGGGAAAGAGGAGAAGGCGGACCTGGACCAGTACTTCAAAGCCAAAGGAACTCTTCACTGCACCACGAAGTTCACAAACTACGGCAAAGCAGAAGGGGCCAAAGAGTACACAGCGAAACAAGTAAGCGCAGCAGGAAATTGTATATTTTAATCCCCACAAATTATTTTTAAATATTCTTTATTCGGTAAGGGTACCTCAGGATAACAATATTATCACGATAACGATAATATCGTGATAATATCGTGATCACGATATGACGATTATTGATTTATTGGTCAGAAATATACAATATGCCAATTTTTGGCATAAATAAAAGACTATTTCATGATAAATGGAATGGAGATGCATAATGTAGCCATATATTAAGTATTGATACCAATTTTAAAAAGTAATTTGTAAAAATAAAAATCTATTTGGTTTTTCAAACTCTATCGATACTTGGCAAATGCATATCGATAATGGAATCGCGATATATCAATATATCGTCACACCCCTACTTTGAAAATTGAATAGAAATGGTCAAATGGTTCCAAGTTTACATCATGCTGTACTTTTTTTTTTTTTTTAAATATCTGGGCTTTTTAAGGGCAGTAATTGACAATTGTTTGAAAAAAAGGGTTCTACAAAGTAATAAATGATTAATTGGCTGTTTTTAGATCTCAAAAGGTCAGTGAAATAGTTTTATATATTTTACCAAAGGGTTAATGATGCCCCTGGAGAATTTCTTCAGACTAATTGTTACATTGGGTTGTTTGCTTTTAAAAATAATTTGTCCTGATAAGTCAAATGCAAGTTGACAACTATTTCAAAATCCCCCTCCTTCTCATTCCAACTTGTTACAGCCAGACTTAGACTTACTTCACAGCCTAAATGAGTCCTTCTTTCACCTCTCTCCAGATTGTGCAGGAGCTGTACGGCTCTGTCTCAGAGTTGTCCCTCTCGGCTCTCTTCATCACTCCTCGCACCATTGGCGCTCGCGTCGCTCTGTCTGAAGAACAGCTCAAGCTCTGGCCTGATGACGCAGAGAAGGAGGCGGAGTCTGTTGTCCCGGGAGCCTCCGCTTTGCCCCTGGGCAGCCGTGGCCATGTCACTCTGGGCTGTGTAGAGGGCGTGGAGGCTGTCCAAACGGGCTACGACCTTCTCCAAATCCTCGTCCTGCAGAAAAATGGCGAGCAGGGGGAGGCGGAAGAGATCGACGCTGGTACGCTCACATATTACGGAGAGGGAAGGTGGTACCTCTCCCTCAAAGAGCCAATCAGTGCAGCAGCAAGCTTCTCCAGCGCATACAAACCCAAAGCACCTGCACCAGCCAAAAAGGAGAAGAAGAAACCAAAATGCACCATTCTTTAAAATGTGAAGAGTAGGTTTGAGTCTGTGGAAGGAGAGTGCTGTAGGCCTGTCATTGTAGCAACATATTTGAATATTTTTCCAAATTTTAACGCTATTGCACAAAACTACTTTCAAAATGTGAGCTGCTTTATGTAATACATTTGTATACAAAAAAATTGACCCAGTTCAGCTCCATTGTCCTAAGAAACATGCTTTAAAGCCAGTGATTGTGAAGAAGGGTACTTACGATTTATATTACGGCTTCAAATATCTGTCAATTTTGGGAACATAGTAATTGTAGTGAGTTGATGAGTGTTTTTGGGGCAAATACTTCAAAGATGCAAACCGTAAATGTGTGCCTTTAGTCAATGATTTGCACCGTGACCCAAGATGCCTTTTCAAATAATTTTCAGGCTTTTTGCATCTGTCTCTAAGTGTTGTGAGCTTCACTTCTGGCATTTGGTACTTTAAATCTTACATGTATTCCATTCACTTGACAATATTACTCATACTGTTGGTAGTTTGATGGATGAGCATTTCAATGTTTAGCTCTTATTCTCATATACTAGTAATCGACATAGTTCAAAATATGTAACATTGTGGCAGCTTGAAGTAACTGGATGGTAGCACGTGGGCCAAAGTGGAGTGATAAATGTATTTAACTTTCGTAGGACCTTGTTTGTAAGCTCTTTGCACTTCCTAGTTTAAAAGGGACCTGTTGAATTGTCAACGACAAGTGATGAAATTGCTATGTCCTTAAATTCAGTGTTTTGCAAGGTGTTTCTACTGTTACAGAAATGGCACCGTAAATGGATGGATAAATTGAATGACTTTTTAATTTCTGATCACCACTGCCATGTTGTATTCCTGTCACAAATTTAAAGGTGTGGCCTTTGTAGCTCTTAACACTCTTTTTGCACTTGTTTTGTACACTTCAGTTCATAATAAATATTCAAAGAAATGGCAATGTTTGACTCCTTTGCAATTTTCTATTAGATTGACTTAAACAGTATTCTTCTATTTTCAGTTCGAAAACATGCTCTTGCCATACTTTTCCAATATTTGACCAAAGGCAGTTGGCATAGAAATTACTTTGATAAGTCTAATGCTGGTTTCCAGTTAGACATCAACCAGTCGCTCATTAAATTGAACAGCACATTTGAAGGCCCTGGCCTGCAGAGTGCAATTTGAGCTAGCTGATGCAAGTAAACATTCCTGGCTCATTTCAATTCAACCTGCCTTAAGTAATGGCATATGTATTGTAAATTCATGGCCACTTATCTAGTGATGCAGATAGAGGGGTAAGAGCTGTGGCTACAACGACCTAAGCACATGGGTCATTTAGGGGAACCTTTCGCCTGGTTCTTTGTATAATTGCTCAAGTCATATCTTGATGTCAAGCAGTACTTTTCAGTACAACCTGGGGTTTTAGAATATGCATTGTAAAGCTGTCATAACTCGAGTCATGACCGTATCAAACTGAATCAATTTAACAAATGTATTGAAAAAACATGCTATGAACTTCACACTGCATAGAAATGTTTAGGGTCTTTGATGGGGAAAAATTTAATCTACAAAATTCCAGTAAACCATTTCCTTAATCCCAAGAGCACTAGAAAGGCCCAGTGCTTCAGGACGGATGAAAACCAGCAAATACTTTAAACTTTATTAAAAAAAATACAGCCTCACCCCGCTATCATTAGGGTCAATTGAAAGGCTCAGTAATGCTAAAAGCCCAATGGATTTCTTTTAAACCAAGGAAGTGGAAATAATATCTTTCAAGGCAATCCTAAAGAGTATTGCAGTAGAGAACGGTTAATGCTTTAATGGCAGGAAAACCAGACTCAGATCAAATCTATTCTAAAAGCACTTTTCCAAATAAAACCCTCAAATGTACTAAAGACAGGACAGATTCACTGCTCAGGACAAAATGTAAACAACAGGATCTTTATTCAACAGTGATTAAATCCAAGAAATGTACATTTCTTTGAATCATCTCACACCTAGAATTTCTGGAACTGCTTCTTTGCTCCAGCAGCCTTTGTGACTTTGAGGACGTTGAATCTCACGGTCTTGCTGAGTGGTCGGCACTCTCCAACAGTGACAATGTCTCCGACTGTGACGTCCCTGTAGAAAGTAAAGCCATGAGGATACAGCCAAACATCCAACATCTGCTGATGTCATTAGGTAGTGCATCAGCAAAGCCATAAGGCACTATCGTCAAAGCCAGAGCTTGGAAGACCATCGTGAGAAAAACATCATTTGCAAAATAAGGGCTAATCTGTGTGAAAGCATTAATATTTTCCATGAGAATTACCTGAAGCAGGGAGAAAGGTGGACAGAGAGGTTCTTGTGCCTCTTCTCAAAGCGGTTGTATTTACGGATGTAATGCAGATAGTCACGTCTGATCACAATGGTCCGCTGCATCTTCATTTTGGTCACCACGCCTGAAGGGAAGACAAAATTTGTGGTTACTAGTCACATAAACAAAAATCATGCAACTAGAGTGAAACAATAAGTTTTCAACTAGAGTAAATCGCTGGACTACATCAGCATTGCCATAAGGCCTTATCGTCAGAACCCAAGGGGCTTGGAAGACCATCGTGAGAAAAACATCATTTGTAGTATTCATCTATCCAATCAAAATTGTACACATTTAGTCAATACACTATAAAGCCAGACTCACCGGAGAGAATACGGCCACGGATTGAGACGTTTCCAGTGAATGGGCATTTCTTGTCAATATAAGTGCCGTCAATAGCCTGCAGGGGGTGAAAGTATATACATCAGTCCTAACCACAGACCAGTAAGCCCATAAACATAACATGTTGAGCTGTAGCTAGTAGATGCATCAGTATTGCCATGAGGCATTATCGTCACAACCATAAAGGCTTGGAAGACCATCGTGAGAAAAACATCACTTGCATAAAAATGATGCAGTGTTGATTATAGTTACCTCTCTTGGGGTTTTGAAGCCCAGCCCGACACTCTTGTGGTAACGGGGGAGCTTTTCCTTGCTCTCCTTGCCTCCATCTGCAACCAGAACACGCTTCTTGTTCTGGAAGATCGTGGGCTGTTTCTGATAAGCCCTCTCGGTCTGCGGAACAAAGAACAGGTTTATTAGAAAGTGTGGTTTAGTCAGTCAAGTCTTGAGATGTACTTGTTATTCCGTTAACGCAACAAACTTCTCAAAGTAAATTGAGCTTCCTAAACTCGTTTACGTAAAAATAAAAGTCGCAGCGAATAGTATTTTGAGTTAGTCTTTACTTCCGATTTGCTCATTTGACTGGACTTTGCAGGCCACACATTTATAATATCCTTACGTAGCGCTGTATCTAAACTATGCTGCACCAATGATTCCAAATGAATTAAAACAGGCCCAAAACTCCAACGACATCATAGCTGACATGTATAAAACAAAAGCTGAGGCTAACGTGATAGCGCTGTTGCTAAATGCACGTAGCACGAGGGCGAGCCGACTGGAGGAAATACACTCTCTTCCGAGACTTTCGGCGACCAGAAAGAGCCTCTGTGACATGTGAAAACGGCTTAAATAGACGCGTTGTTGATACAAGCCCAACTAAAGGCTGTAAAATCTGCTAAAAAAGTGAAGTAAAAGCCCCACGCTACTTGCCCACACGTACTTGTGCGTCCGCCATCTTTGCGAGCCGAGTGAAAAGAGGCCCGTGGATGCGCGAGGCGACCGGAAGACAGTCTAAAGGACAGGAAGTGACGTTTATAACCGATCAGCGATCCATGAATCAGAATCAGAAAAAGTATATATAATTTTCTGATAATAGTAAATAAGGCGTGTCCAAACAATGCCCCAATCCCTTTAGAGCCTGAGTATCTTACTTTAATTTTTTTTCCGACATAAAGAGTCTTGTAAAAGTAACATTTTGAAAACCAAGACATGCTATGTAAATCGAAACAGATAAGATAAAATAGATTATACGAGCATAAGAATTAGTCAAGCGAGTTACGTGACGCTTTGGCTGTAGTCCTCTCTTTTTTACTTTCCTGTGTGAGAAAGTTGATTTAAAGCTGTGACAGGTAAAATAATACATGTATGTGGAAATTAATGATAGAACCAAACTGGTTTGATGGTTAGGAACTACCGCAATCCCATAATAGATTCATGCCGCAATCTCGTAAAACACATGGCTGAATTGTATGTTGTTTTTTTAGTTTTTTTAATGAACTATAAATATTACATAATTAAAACAGACAGAATTAATTTTAACGGCATTTATACATGTACACGTTTTATACATAACTCAGTCATAGAAAAATTGATTATTTATTCTATTTTATTTTGTTTATATGTACAAAAAAAACATCTTCTCCCAAACAACGAAACGGCTCACGTGGGTCAGGGTGAATGCGCACGCACGGTCGCTGAATGCGCGCTCCCGACCCCGCTGTAGCCACATCGCGGATCAGCGAAGCAGAGAGGAGTCACTGGAGCGCAGGAAGGAGCAGACGCTGGGAGTGGAGCGTATCGTGCGGGTTATATACAGCTAATAAAACACTTGTTTGGATAAATATCACTTGGTGGTTGGCATAATCCGATCTGTGACTGGGCCGGGATGGCGTCCTTGGCGGACGATGACGAGGACTTGATGCAGTTTAGTCAGGAATTAGGGGGTTCGGGTGCGTTTGACAGGAGTAGGAGTGGAGGGGGATTGAGCAGTAGCCAGGTTAGGAAACGGGGGTTGGATGGGAATAGTTCAGATGAGGGGATCTCGGGCCGCAAAAGGATAGTTAGGGAGCAGCAGAATCCTAAAGTAATTCTTAAGTTTCGGCAGGAGAATGACATAAAAAATGTGAGCCTGATTGTGTTGTCAAGGGAGTTGAGAAAGAAAATAGGAGAGGTAGAAGTGGCAAAGGTGCTGAGAGATGGGAGTTTGTTGATTGTGTGTACTTCGGAAGAGCAGAAAAAGAAAGTGTTGCAGTTGGAACATGTGTGCAAGATAGCAGTGACTGAAAGGAGAGTAGTTGGAGAAAAAAAGGCTGTGCGTGGGGTCATAACAGGTGTCCCCTTAGACGAGGACCTGGAGAGGTTTAGGCAGTGTTTAGGTGGAGGTGTCAGTGGAATTAGACGGTTGATGAGGCGAGTGGATGGTCAGAGTGTGCAAAGCTTATCGGTTTTACTGGAGTTTACAGGTGCAGTACTCCCTGAAAAAGTGAAGGTGGGGTGTTTGAGTTTTCCCGTGAGAGAGTTTGTTCCGCCTCCTCTCCGGTGTTATAAATGCCAACTGTATGGGCATGTGGCAGCGGTCTGTAGGGGGAGGCAGAAGTGCCCTAGATGCAGTGGGGAGCACAGAGTAGAGGAGTGTAATGAAAACAGTACTCTTAAATGTAGTAACTGTGGAGGGCAACATGCTGTAACCTACGGAGGATGTGAAGTAAGGAAAAAAGCGGTGGAGATTCAGAGAGTGAAGGTTATGAACGGTGTCTCTTACGCAGATGCAGTGAGGAAAGTTCAAAATCAAGACCCAGGAGTGAGTGGTGACCAGAGTGATGCTAGAGGGAAGAAGCAGAGTGTGAGTGAGGGTAGTATGGTGTCGGTGGATAATTTGATGGTGTTTCTAGCATATGTCATAAATTGTGCAGATCAGGCAAAGCATAAAACAGATAAAATTAAGATTATTGTGAAAGGAGCGGAAAAGTACCTCGGTATGAGAGGTGTTTCCTGGGAACAGGTGAACAAAAGGTTGGAGGAGGAGAAGAGAATGGTTGTGGGAGGGGGAAGTGAGAGAGTAGTATGAAAATCATTCAATGGAATGCAAGGAGTTTAATGGCTAATGGACAGGAGTTAAAAGGTTATGTGCAGAACAAGGAGAGGAGACCTGATATTATATGTGTTCAGGAAACATGGCTCAGGCCATCATTGGATTTTGTGATTAGGGGGTATGAATGTGTGCGTAGGGATAGACAAGGTGGTAATGGTGGAGGGTGTGCTGTTTTTATTAAAAATGGAATGCAGTATAGGGTGGTGAGGAAGGGGACAGAGCTTGAGTTTATTGTGGTAGAGGTGTGGGTTAGTGAGGGGAAAGTTACCCTGGTGAATTTCTATAATCCCTGTAGGAGGCTAACAATGGATACGTTGCGGGAACTGGATGATAACCTAGAGGGTAAAGTAGTATGTTGTGGTGATTTTAATGCACATAGCACATTGTGGGGTGAACGGAATGATGAGAATGGGGCAGTGATTGAGGAATTATTGGATGCTAGGAATTTAGTGTGTCTGAATGATGGGAGTGGAACACGGATTAACTTCCAGAATGGGAATGAATCTGCACTAGATCTTACTCTAGTGTCAGAGTCTATTGCAGGGAATTGTAAGTGGAGGGTTGATAAGGAGACTACTATAGGTAGTGACCATTATCCTGTAGAGGTTGAGTTGGGATTCAGTGTTGAAGAAGTTACCACAGAGGGGGTAGGGAAATGGAGTTTTAGTGGTGTTAAGTGGGATAGATTTAGTTACATATGTGATAGGGAAATGGAAAGAGTAAATGTTAATGGAGGTGTGAATGATTTTAATAGTTCTCTATGTAGTGCAATTTTGGAGGCAGCCAAACAGACAATCAAGAAGAAAGGAGGAAAGGCTCAAAGGAAGAGTGTTCCTTGGTGGTCAGATGAATGTAATAATGCTATTAAGGATAGAAACAAGGCTTTTAAAGTGTTTAAGAGGAATCATTGTTTCCAAAATCTGTGTGACTATAAACGGAAGCTCGCTGTAGTAAGGAGAGTTGTTAAAGAAACTAAAAGAGCATACTGGGCACGATATTGTGATACTTTAGGGAGGCAAACATCAGTGGGTCAAATATGGGGGACAATTAGGAGAATGGGAGGAAGTAAAGCTAGTTTTGGGTATCCAGCAATGTCATCTGGTGGAAGTGTAATTTTAACTAATAAAGGCAAGGCTGATCTTTTAGCTCAGCAGTTTGTGAAAGTCCATAGTAACGGAAATTTAAGTGAAGAAGAAAGGAGAGGAAGGAGGGAAACAGTTAGATGTAATTTGAATAGTCTTGAGGATGTGGAGGAGTGTGATAATGCAATTAATGATGAGTTCAGTATTTGGGAGTTGAACAGGGCATTAAGCAGATGTGGCAATACTACCCCTGGAGAGGATGACATAAGCTATTGTATGCTGAGAAACTTGAGTGATAGAAGTAAGATTGTGTTGTTAAAGTTGTATAACAAAGTATGGGTAGAGAGTAGACTGCCAGAGCAATGGAAAGAGGCAATTGTAGTTCCTATTTGTAAACCAGGTAAAGATCCTTCTGCTGCAGAAAGTTACAGACCAATAGCTTTAACATCACATGTTGGGAAGGTAATGGAGAGAATGATTAATGATAGGCTAGACTATTTTCTGGAAAAGAATGCGTTGATCAAGAATCACCAGTATGGTTTTAGGAAGGGTAGGAGTACAGTAGACCCTTCTTTGCTTTTAGAAGACGAAATTAGGAAGGCGCAGGTGAACAAGGACTGCGTTGTCTCAGTGTTTTTTGACGTTGAGAAAGCATATGATATGATGTGGAGGGAGGGGCTGATTATAAGATTGCATAAGATGGGTGTACGGGGGAAGATGTTGAAATGGGTTCGAGATTTCTTATCAGGGAGAAAGATATCAGTCCGAGTAGGGAAAGAGTGTAGCTCAAAGTTTGAGGTTGAAAATGGCACGCCGCAGGGCAGCATTGTAAGTCCAGTATTATTTACAATTATGATAAATGAAATTTTTTGTGACATTGAGTCATCAATTGGAGTGTCACTGTTTGCGGACGATGGTATAGTGTGGAAAAGGGGGAAAAATGTACGGTATATTGTTAAAAAGTTGCAAGAAGCTATCGGGATGGTTGAAGCCTGGTCAACAAAATGGGGTTTCAGATTTTCAGTGAGTAAAACAAAAGTCATGTTTTTTACCAGGAAAAGAGTGGGAGATGACATTAATCTTACTTTATATGGGAAGAATCTTGAACGAGTGAATGAGTTTAAGTACTTAGGGTTAGTGTTTGATAGTAAGTTGACATGGGCAGCCCATATTAATAAGGTAATAGAGAAGTGCAAAAAGGTGATGAACGTAATGAGGTGTCTTAGAGGACGGGACTGGGGAGCTAGTCGGAATTGTATTAAAACTGTGTATGTGGCGTTAATCAGGTCTGCTTTAGACTTTGGATGTGTGGTATACGGCTCTGCGGCAAAAAGTAATTTAAAGAAGCTAGATGTTGTACAATGTAAAGCCTTGAGATTATGTTGTGGGGCTGCAAGATCCACTCCAGTCTCTGCACTGCAGGTGGAGATGAATGAGATGCCTCTGAAGTTTAGGAGATTGCAGTTGACCTTAGTGTATTGGGCCAATTTGCAGGGGAGCAGTAGAGATCATCCTTGTCAGAGAAGTTTAAAACCAACTCAGGAGAGGGAAAGAGCGCAACTGGCCAGTTTTGGCTGGGTAATAGAGGAGGCGGTGGAGAATGCAGGACTAAGAAATCTAGAGGTATGTCCTGTAGTCCCAAGTTCTGCTGTCCCTCCGTGGGAATTATTGGAGCCTCATGTGGATTTAACTCTTTTGAAGAAAAAGAACTATAATAATAACAATGTAGAGATGTACATCTGGGAGAAGTTTTATGAGCATCTAGAGATTTATACTGATGCA